CAGCAGACTGTATGCGCTGCAAAGCGACCAACGTCTCTTGGTCTAAGTCCAGGGCGTCCAGGTCCAGCTCACCCGCAGTCAGACCTATCACGGAGGATTGTGAGCGAGCGTTAGTTGCTGAACTCACGGTGGAAAGAGCGACATTAAGAGCGTACCTTCGACAGCCAGACGAAGTACCTCGGGATCCATCCCTGCCAGACTCACGTGTGCACGGAGGGTACGATTCGCTTGGAGGAGGCGAGTGTTACGGTCTTGCTGGTTCTCGAGGACCTTGAGCGTGTCGTTATCGACATACTTGCCCTGGGCAAGCTTTACCAGAAGGAGGTGGAGCTTCCGGGTCTGCTCAGTATTCGCGCCAATAGAAGACTTGTACACTTCGCGTTCGCGAGCCAGCTCCTTGTTCAACGTGCTGATAAAAACGTCCCGAGCTTGGACCTCGCAGTGCAGACGATTCAAGTCTTCTGCGTGTCGTTCCATAGTGGCTTGAACAGTGGCGAGCATGGCGTCGTTCTTGGCGTTCGACTCGCGGAGAATCGTGACGTTGTGGTGAAGGGCTTCAATCTCAGCGTTGTCAGCCTTGAGGAACACCTCCGCGTTCTCCCGAGCCATGATTTCGGGTGCCACCGAACGTACGGCGGTAGCAGCCTCGGTCTGAGCAAACCGCAACTGAAACTCCAAGTCGGCGACTCGCTCGGGTAATGCCGACAGCGTGTCAGGAATAAGTTGTACCGCAGCGAGGACATCATCGAAACCAACAGCAGTCTCGAGGCGACGCTGAGTGTGTACATCGCCGTGGAGAGGAGGCGCAACGCTGAGCTGCACTTGGTGACGAGTCATTGCAGTCAAGTACGGAATTATCGAGGTCATCATGTGATAGACCGATGCCTCCGTGCTTTCAGCCAGCATGGCGCGCAGTGAATCCTCGGTGAGTGGTGGTGGGCCACCAGCAGGCGCAGGCGGAGCAGCAGGAGCCATCTCCGTGGATTTAGCGACGACAGGAAGTGCCGCAGGAGCTGCCGCAGGGGGTAAAGAGTCCGGGGCAGGAAGCGCCGGACGTCCGGCTGATGACGCTGCCGTCGGAGGAAGTGTAGCAGGCTGAGGGGCGCTCGAAACTTCGGTGTCGCCCTCCTGAGAACCAAGACGAGTAATGCATGGTGATGAGCAAGGCACCGATGATTCAAGAGGAAGATGAGCTGACGTATCTCCAGCTGTTCACGTTCGCGACGTCGGCGAGGATTGAGACGCTGAAGCGCGCTGGTCACGGCTCGATTCAAACGCTTGGACATGCGGTGACTGGATGGTAAATTGGAGAATGAAGAAATGTCACAACGGGCACCAGTACCGTGGCTTCCATTGCGACAGGGGCAGTTGTGGTGTAGTGATTTCTCCGTAGTTGCGGATTATTACCCGTCGACAAAGACGTGACACCGCCCAAGATGTTCAAGCGACGAGCCCTCGGTCAGGTGATGTACGGAGACGCTAAGGTGCATAGGACTCGACGGCGTCACCTCCGAGTTTTCAACAAGTATCGGATACGGCCCTATGTCACTGAATCCAGGCTGTCCTTATTATTAATAATGGACTGGCCGGATTCGCATTCAGCGGACCATCTACGGTACGAACCCTCAGTGGCGGTTGGGATGAGTTCGCGGAAGACTCAGCGACCTTTGGAAGACACGTTCACCGTCTGGGACAGGGCGCAAGCCGTTAAAGATACTCATGCGACGGTGCAGACGACGCTTGGCATGCAAGAAGATCCATAATAGATCATTGTTCACTTGATATTTGTATACTTGATTAGGACTTCCTATTAGGAATAGACCCGAAAGGGTAAGCTTAAATACAGAACAGAATTTTCACTCAAGCACACAGAGCGACGTCCGGCTTCAAGGTAAGCGTCAGGTCAAGCTTGTTTGAGTGTGTTATGCCTGTCGGTGAACTCGAAGCTCTGTAGCGAGGGTTCATCCGGCAAGGCCAAGAGACTTTGTGTATTGGCCGATTATTATCGGGAGGTTTTACGTGACGGCTTATTGTTGCCTATTTGCACAACTGGGAGTGCTTGAATTGGCTTACTTTTATTCTTCCAACCGAGTGTTGAACACTCGGTGACCTCGTAAAAGGCTTACCCGTGCCTGGTACCCTTTCGCTGTTGGAACCCCGAGGATCCATACCACCTGCTAGCTTTGCTCGTGCTAGTAGCGTGTTCTTTTTTTTTACTGGTGGCCTATATAAGTAGTTTACAAGGTCCAGTTTGTCCCGGTGCAAGGGCAGAACTGGGGTCTTCAGGTCCGCCCGAACGATCGTTTACTATCCTAGTAGACGTATTGTTATGGGAACATCCTAACTACATTTGTAGCTAGAGGTCACGTGGGAATTCCAACACCACAATTAGCTGTCGCACGAAGTTTCGCGGGACTGAATACGAGCAAACCCAAAAACGCTCAACTCCATCCTAGACCTGGATTTTCCTAGAACGAAGAAGGGTATGCAGCCTTTCTTGGGAGCACTTAACTACGATGATTCAATTCATTCAGGACTTTGTGGTGTATGGTGCCGCACTATACCAGCTCAAGGAAGAAGATTTCGCTTCTGGTGGAGACCTGACCACCGCCCGACGAAGCTTCGATGATTTGAAGAAGAATGTTGCCAATGCACCGATCCTTCGGCACTTAGACAGTTCAAAATATGTACACATCACGTTATTCGCAAATCAGTGGTATCTAAGTTCAACAATACTTCAAAGGCACAACGATAAGTTGCGTTCGGTGTGACTCTGCGGACGCGTTCTGAAAGATGCTGACATGAATTACCATCCGGCGGAGAAGAAAGTGTTGGCATTACTACTAGTGCTAAAAGCAGGCTACACACAGTTAGCAGGACTAATACGGCAGGGTGTACACTCGGTTCTCAACGCTGAGATGGGTAATGAAATCAAAATCACTCTTCGGCCGAGTAGTTCAATTTGCAGTGCTGCTATCATCACGGCACTTTATTGTGGAACGCGTGAAGGAAACCGAGTGCGCATTCATCCAGTTGTTGCATGCGCCGGGACGAACTTCTTGTCGATTAATGAGTCGTTGGAACTCATGACACCGCCAAACAAAGGTTCAGCGACAACTCGTATGAGCCCAAGCCTGCTCTACGCATGTCTACCAAACTGTGTGGCGATCACCAGATTGGCAAATAGTCCTTGCAACGAGTGCTTTCCTTTATAAGATGACGGGTAACGTAGCTGACTACTCAGGAATGAATAATGGAGTATTGGCTGCCCTAGAATACGGAGCCACCGAGTTGGTGATTGTCGGCGACTCGAGGCTCGCAATCCAGCAAGCACTGTGTCGGAACAAAGCATGACTCATTTAGGTCGCCACAAAGAAGTCACGGCACGTCTCAAATCAGTCAGGTATCTGCATGTGACCCGAGAATACAATGCAGCCACTGACTCCTAGCAACCGAAGCGTGGGAATCAAAGAAGGTAGTACTAAGTGAATCCCGAAAAGCTGAACTCGTTCAGCTCAAGCGAATCACACAGGTGATCTATGACGAGCCAAGTAATGCGGAGGTTAAAAATCCTGTTTCAACAGGCTCTATTTATTTTCCGACGCTTGTCACTTAGCGACGCGCAAGACCTTATGCGATTTCGTGCGCGATGAATTGGACCTGCTCATGGCGGCGACCCGTTCTCAAGCCAGGACCCGTAAAAGAGTCCGGTTTGCTGACGAGGCTGTAGACCAAGAAGGTGATACACACGACGAGAACCAAACGCGAAATGTACTTTCCGAAGTCCAACATGATGAGCCGCAGACTGGGGCACAGACTCAGTCGAAGCCGAGTGCAGGTGAAGCCGACCCAGTGAGTGTTCAAGAAGGGCGCAGACGACGTATCGCTAAGGCACAAGATGCGGAGCAACGATTGTCGAATCTCAAAGCAGTGCTACGAGGAGAAGTCGAGGAACTTGGATACAGAGCAGCACGCGACACGCTAAGCTTAGCCGACTAGTTCGTCCTTACGGATGATAACGTACTCCACGATCTTGGAGGTAGCCGCCGGAGCAAGACACAACAGCAGATCCAGCTAAGTCTCGTGGTATCTACCACGATGACACATGAAGTCCCCCAGAACTGTCATCACTCTCTGGAAGGTGGACACCAAGGTGTGGTGCAGACCAATCAGCGTGTTAGGCGCGACCACTACTGGCATGGACGCTACGCTGGTGTGGAAAGACACGTCAAGTCTTGTCGGGGTTGTAGTTCAAGTAAGAGCCGACCTTACCCACGTAGATACTCGCCGGGTAATGTTCTAGTCAAGCGCCTTCGCAATGGATACCGCATAGGACATGATCCGGGGCGATACCCCGTTCTACTTGGTACGTGGATGGGATCCTGGATCCACTTTAGAAGCGGTCATGCCAGTGGGCAGTACCAAGATGAAAAACCGAGACCCAAGACGATGGCGATACCAAGTCCAGAAATACTACCGGCAAGCCAGATCCAAAGTGAACGAGCGGTTGCGAAGTGCGATACAGCTATCATCAAGAACCCTCCAATCCTGCTGCTGGGTGAGGCGACGAGTGCACTGGACACGGAGAGCGAGTGGATTGTACAGGCACATTTGGATCGGTTGGTGGCGGGGTCGAACCGCACGACGGTCATAGTGGCGCACCACGACCCGGGATGCCGACCGTATTGCCGTCCACAGTGGCGGTCAGATTGTGGAGCTCGGTTCTCATGAAGAGTTGTTGCGTCTTCCTAATGGCCACTTCCTTCTTCTGCTGGAAACCCAATCGCAAGCGGCAGCAAGGGGGGAAGGACATGAGGAATAGCGAGACCGTGGACGAAACAGCTTAGGCGGAAGAGCCTCGGTCTACTCGCGAGCCGGTAAGATCGATTACGCAGACCTGCGCGGCGAGCGAAGATGTTGATGAAGCAGGTGCCACCGAAGCCCGCGCGTCTGAAATTGATGATCCTGCTCACAAGGTAGGCACGTCGAGGATCTAGAAGATGGCCTTCCCCGAATGGAAATTCATGGCATTGGGCGGTCTTGGTGACGTGGTCTATGGTGTCGTGTACCGTGTAAACGGTCTGCTTATCGGTGTTTCCATCAAGCTATATTTCGAGACGAACAAGACGAAGAGCGAGATGTTGCACGACATGCGCTACTTTTCGATGTACCTGGGTATTCTAGCCCTTGTGTGCTGTTTGGCGATAACAATGATGAACTACGGCTTTGGCGTGGCTTCATATCGACCCGCGGCCCGAACTCGCGTTGTGGCATACGGTGCCATGCTTCGCCAAGAGGTTGGCTGATTCGATTTAGCAGAAAACTCTTCCGGTGCTCTCATATCCCGTCTGGCCAGCGATTCCGCTGTCTTGCACTCTATGACATCCGAAAACCTCAGTCGTGTGGTAGTGGGCGTGGCAACGACAGTCATTATTCTTGCGCTCTCGTTCATCTACAGCTGGCCGATGACACTTGTCATGACGGTCATTGTGCCGCTGCTGGTGGGCTGCAACTTCATGCATATCAAGAACATGCGGGGACAGGTGAACGCCAAGACGAGTAACAGCGCCGATGCTGCTGCAGGCTCCTTGCTATCTGAAGCCATCGACGCGATCCGCACAGTAGCCTCTTTCGGCATGGGGCAGTTGCTGACTGCCAAGTACTGGATGGCTCAAACGAGCAGGACAAGCGAGCAGGTGTCTCGGGAGGCACCGCCTTTGGTCTGTTGCAGGGCGTACTGTTCCTCTCGCTCGCTCTTATCTTCTATGTTGGTGGCTACTGGGTCACAAAGGGAACGGTCAACTTCTACGATCTCTTTACGATCATCACGGTCTTCATGACAGGTTCGTTTAGCAGCAGCATGGCCTCCCAAGGATCTGTAGACGACGAGAAGGCAAAAGCGAGATGCGGTTAACGTGTTCAAGATCATCGACCGCGTGCCAGAGATTGATGCAACGTCCACTACCGGGACCGTGCTGCCAAGTATCCAGGGCAATATCGACTTCAAGAATCTCACGTTTGCGTACCCGTCCCGCCCGAACGCCGCCATTTACCAAGGCTATAACCTGTCTGTTTGAGGCGGTCAGACGGTGGCTCTAGTGGGTGCAAGTGGCAGCTGCAAGAGTACGGCAATCGCACTTTTGAAGCGGTTCTACGATCCGTCGTCGGGCATGGTGACGCTGGACGGGCACGACGTGCGTAGTCAGAGTGTGCCGTGGCTGCGAGACCGCATCTCGCTGGTGAGCCAGGAGCCGGTACTGCTCTCAGGGACGATTGCGGAGAACGTCGCTCTGGGCAAACCGAGTGCGAGCCGTGCAGAAGTAGCGACTGCGGCCAAGAGCGCTAACGCTTTCGACTTTATCTCGAACTTCCAGTTGGCGCTCGACACGGAGGTAGGCGACCAGGGGGTCCGAAAATGATATTGTTATTTATCGTAGTAGCATCTTCACGATAAATTATCGCGAAGCTAGCTTGTATGTTGGCAATACGTTATGATGCTTTAGCTAGAAGACCAATAAATAATTGAGTTACTGCTGCAATAACCAAGGTTTATTGAATCAATAACAGGTATCTACGCTCGAGTTGCTGTGTCAAGTGTTTGTGCGTCCCAGTAACCAGCATTTTCGCGCAGGAAGAGAATCATTTCTAAAGTGGGAAGTGAGAGAAAAGAAAATGAGTCTGCTGAGATCAGCCGATTCGGCAACAAAACGACTGGTTCGTGGCGATCGATTGACTGCTGCAGATAACTTCAGGAAACTGTACGCATAAATTACCGGATGTAATATGCAGCCACCATAAATTATGCACGAGCCTAGTTTAGGGTGACAACATAAATAATGTCTGCTTATTTATTGAAATTACTGTGTCGTCAATTTTTTTTTCGGGGGCCCTGTAGGCGACCGTGGCGCACAGGTATCTGACGGTAAGAAGCAACGTACCGCCATTGCACGCGCCATTCTGCTCGACCCGGATGTGTTGCTGCTGGACGAGGCGACGAGTGCATTGGACAGCGAGAGTTAGCACATCGTGCAGGCGTCGCTGGACGTGTTGATGGCGCAGAAGCAGCGCACGATAATCGTGGTGGCTCACTGTTTGTCCACGATTCGGAAGGCGGATGTGATCGCGTGACGGCTCAATCGTGGAGCTGGGTGGTCACGCAGAGTTAATGCGACTGGCGGGTGGTAAGTATCGCGACATGGTGGAGCAGCAGGCCGGCAGTGCCGGCCCGGCACGGTAGCGTCAGTAAACTAGGGTGGACAGAGCACCAGGATGAGAGACAAATAATGATATCCTCCAAGTCGTTTGCACCATCAAATTAGGAGATTGAATTATACTGTCGACGGGGCAGGGAAGAGGGTTTAGCACTGGAAGGGCCAGAAGAGGAAGTAGCATATCTTTTCTTTGTTGTCGGTAGCAGCATGTAGGCTTGTAGCCTCATCACGTAGTCCGCGCTGTCCGGTCTTGATGAAGGGACTCGCTTTCTCCACCAGGCTTGAGCTCGCAGCAGCGCTCGTCAAAGTCGACAGCCACAGCGCGAGGGCGAAGATATTCATCGTCTTGTTTTGTGGGGGTTGTGCCGAAGAGTGGCAGATTGAGAAATGAAGTCGTAAAACATGAAACACAATTTGCTGAAATTCTCGGTTGTTATTCAGCTTGAACTATCTGGGATCATCGTAGGCTACGCCAATGAAGTCAGGCAATTACCACAGACCCCACTTGCAAGGGTACGCGACGATAAAGTGCCAAGTTTTCTCCTCCAAACCAGCGGCAGCATCGCCGTTGGAGCTGAAACTCGAGTCGGCGTTGACTCGGAGATTGCGCTCAGTTGCCGTAATGACTTCACCCGAACTGAGTTGTGACGCGTAAGCAGCAGCAATTGCGCAGGCAAACAGGACCTTGGGCATCTTTACAGTTGGGATGGGGATGCTTGACGAGAAGTGTGCAATTAGCGGAGTATTTGCGACTGATAGCTGCGAAAGCTAACCGTGCTTTGAACTGGAGTGCCAGGTGAGCCACTTCCATCCACTCAAAGTTAACATGCCTGGGGTACCCAAAAAGCGTGGTGAAGGAGAAGGCCAGCCAAGTTTGTAAGATCATCCAAACTGTACACCACGCGTTACGTTTACCCCCCCCACACACACACACACACGCCCCTAGTAAGACGTCTGCAAAAATCAAGTACACCAGCGAACAATTCATCCACGAAAAACTAATGCAGGCTAGCAATCGTGGCTCAACCGTAGCGACCACCGATCCATTTTTGTCCGAAATATAACTGGATTGCTTACCAACCAAACCCTCTCGAAACTCCACGACATGTTCCGAGATGCCCACAGCATGCTTTCGCTCGCACCCGGGATAGAGGAGACACTATTGATCTTCACATAATCGCAGAAACGTATCGCACCAAGCAAGCTGTACAGGTCTAGCGACTACGGCTACGACTGCGAGGTCCGCCCGACGGAGGAGGGGACCTACAACCAAAAGATTAGGCCACGACAACCACAACAGCACTTTCACACAAGCACACAGCTACGTACCAGCTGCGGTCGTTCCGGGGACCACGACGCGATCCGTGGCGCGACGACATCTCCGGTCGACTGTAGCGACGGTACTCTTGCGGGGACTTGTCCAGTGTCCTTCCCGAGTACTTGCGGGGCACCCGTTCCTCTTCTCTCGACCGAGCCTCATAGTACGGACGACGTTCGGGTTGATCAAACTCGTCGATCTCATCAGGACGCCCGTACGAGCGCTTACCGGGATAGTCACGCGAACGCTCACCCATCCCCGCGGCCTCGTCGCCTCTCCGCAAGCTGCTGCTAGTGCTGTGGCGGCGATAACGCGGAGGAGAACCACTGCGTCCCCGCTCCTCAGGGCTCTCACGACTGTGGCGCGACGAATGGTGACGACTTGAGTGGCGGTGATGATGATGACGGCGGTGGTCCGAGTCTTCGAACTCGTCTTCGTACCGGCTCTTCCTTCCGGAGTCGAACGAGTCGTAGCGAGCTCGTCCTCCTCCGCGTTCTTCGTCGTCGTAAGCGCCACTACCATCGAAACTGCCTCGACTCACACGTTTGGGTCCGTCTCCTTTGCTCCTAAAACCACACAACGCTATTAGATGTGGCCATGTCAATTATTGTTAACTCGAACGTACTTGCGGAAATTATAGTCCGTGCGCAGATGTTGGCCCGCCACGATGATCGTCGCACTGTGGGCCTTCTGGGCCGACGAGATGTCCGTGTAGTCCACGAAGGCGGACATGGGGGCATCGGGTCTGGCCTGGGGCAGCACCTTGACATTCTTGACTTCCCCAAACTGGGCAAAGGCCTGGTCCAGTTCACTCATCTTAATATGAGGTGGGATGTTAGCCACGAACAGATTGGGCGATGCGTTCACGGGGAAGCGTGGACTGTGCAGCAGCGGGGGCGGCGCCGGACTCGCATTATTCTGCATGGGAGGTGGAGGGCCGTCGAAGCGGCGCTGGGTGCCGTGCGAGACGGCGAAGGCCACGCGCAGACGACGGCCACCCAGTTCTTTGTCATTCATCTCTTGTACAGCCAACTCAGCGTCTTCTAGCTGCTCGTAATGGACGAACGCGTAGCCTTTCTTGACAGCGCACTGTTCGATGGGACCAAACTACAGAGAGTTGAAAGGGATGTAGAGATCAGAGATAGGGGAGAGTTAAAGCGTACGGATATGTAGCCACACCTTGCCAAATTCTGCCTCCACGTCGCGTTGCGTGAGCTCGTAGAAGAGATTGCCCACGTAGAGCTTAGTCGACGCCATGGGACCTTCCTCCATCTTGGCTACAGGTGGCGCTAGACTTGTGGTGAGCCAAAACGGATCTGGGGTGACTCGATCTATGATTGGGCGAAACTCGATCAGCAATGTAGCCATTTGGGATCTTGGTGCACGAAACGACGCGCTGGAAACAACTAGGATACTGCCAGTCGAGCATGGCCGACACTGCGCTGGAATTCACGGCCGAGGAGAGCGACTGGGTGTTCGATTACGTGCTAAATCTGTTCCGCTCTCCGGCTTGGGAGCTGCCGGTTATGTGCTTCATCGACGACAACTGCGCCAGCTTCGACACGAGCGAGGAGAACAAATTCATCTACACGGAGCTGCACGCGCAGTTTCGCCAAGTGGTGGAGAACGTTTTAGGCTCACATTTGGCCGAGATGGGGCTCACGGCAACGGACTTTGCTGCTATTTGCGAGAGGCAGCGAGAAGCTGCAGGCGGCTCCGTCAGCGACGGCGTTAGCGCAGACGTAATCAACCAAATCTTGGCCATGGACGACTTCATGAGTTTCAAGAAGCTTATGGTCAAGCGAAACCTCGAGCTCGAATTGGAGGCCATCAAAGAGCTGTGTGAAGAGGTTACAGACGACGAACACGACCTAGAGGCCCAGTTCATGGAGCTTAGTGTGCTCTACAAGCAGGAGGAGATGGAGCAGGCCGAGTTGGAAGCGGCACTCGCCATGTCGATGGTCGTGCAGGGCGAGCAGCTCCGTCTTGCGTCAGTAGCGGCAAAGGTGGCCGAAGACAAGCACGCTAGTGCGGCCTCTAATGCGAGACAACTGTCCCCTGCTGAGGTGCAGCAACAGATCCGTGAAAGTAAGAAGAGAGCTGAGGAGATCTGCAAGAAGAATAAGGAATCTCTCGAAGAGAATCGCAATAAGCAGCGCGAATGGCAACAGGTGGCTGAGATCTCAGCGGACGAACTCAAACGCCGTGAAGAGTACTTGAAGAAGCAGCGCGACCGCATTATTGCAAAGAAGAAACGCGAGCGCGAGACTCAATTGAAAGAGTACCACCAAGAGCAGAAGGCGACAGCTCCTGATCCTCCTCCACAACTCGTCGAAAAGCTCCATAGCAACACGTCGGAAGAGGCCAAAAAGGCCGAAGAGGAAGAACGTAGGAACGCATTACGCATCTCCTTAGCGCGACGTCTGAAGCAGGACTTGCTCGTGTCTGCGAATGCGGCGGCCTCTGAACCGAGTCGCTCGGGCAGCTTTAAAGTGCACCAGGTACGGACACGACTTATATACTTAAGTACACTTTGTTGACCATGGTGATCCTGGCGATGAAGGTGGTGGAGCTTGACGAGAAGCTACAGCGTGTGGAGGATCTACGTCGACAGAGCCAAGAGCGTGAGAACAAGGTCCAGACCAAGCTGGTTCGTACCCGCCATTGTAGTTTTAGGTTGCTCTCACTGCACGCGTTGACTCTCGTTTTGTCTTCGACAGAGATCTGGCATCTCCTGATCGTCATGGGCCAAACTGCACTTCCATGTAGCAATATGATGGGGTCTTACCACATGATACCAAGAGCACAAAACAAAATGAAAAAAGTGCATTTCTTCATTGTCTTCAACGCATTTTGTTGTACTCTTTGAGATGATAAAACGAACGCCTGACACTTGCGCCTTAATGAAAGCTGCTTATTTCGAGTGGAACTTCTTGTTCGTCTTGGCCATGTCTTCAAGCAGAGGTGCAGGGGCAAACTGCGGGCCGTACTGGTCAGCATAACGCTGCATCATCTCCGTGAACTTGGTGCTGCCCACCTTGTCAACGTAGCGAAAGGGGCCGCCAACGAAAGGCGGAAAGCCAATGCCGAACACGGCGCCAATGTCGCCCTCCGATGGAGACTCGATGATTTCATCTTGCACACACAGAACTGCCTCGTTCACGAAACGAGAGATCAGACGGTTGACCGTGTCCTCATCGCTGAGCTTCAGATCTTGTTTCTGGAACTTCTTGATGAGGTTCATGGCATCAGCATTCAACGTCTTCTTTCCTTTCTTGCCCTTAGGAGGCTGCACGAAGAAGCCCTTGCCGGATTTCTTGCCAAGGAACCCCTGCTCAATCATCTCTTCAAACAACTTCGCATCGCCGCCTCCCATACGCACACCCAGCGCCTTTGAAAGCGTCTGGTTTACATGGTACGCCACATCCAGCCCCACCTCGTCCGCCAGCGTGATGGGGCCCACAGGAAGACCCCACTTGGTCATAAGTTTATCGAGTTTCTCCGGCTCGACGCCATCGCCCACAAGTGCCAGCGTCTCTGCAATGTACGGACCAAGACAGCGGTTTACATAGAAACCAGGCACATCCTTCACCACGATAGCAGTCTTGCCTTGACGCAGTCCCAGATCCACAGCCTTCGAAGCAGTCGCATCGCTCGTACCAGCGTGACGAATGATCTCCAGTAACGGCATACTAGGCACAGGTGAGAAGTAGTGCATGCCGATCACGTTCTCTGGTCGCCTGCAGGCCGACGCGATGTCAGCGATCGGAAGCGCCGATGTATTAGTAGCAATGACGCAATCTTTCGACACGTAGTTCTCCAGATCCGACAGAACCTTGTGCTTGAGAGCCAAGTCCTCGAAAACTGCCTCAATAGCGAGATCTGCCTTCTTGATGTGCGTTTTCCAGACATCATCCTCGTCAGACAGAGGCACGACGTTGGCCATAACAGCGTCACGATCGTAGATTGTCATGCGCTTGCGCTTCACCTTCTGGTCCAAATTGTTGCGTACGTAGTCTTCTCCCTTCGCAGCAGCTGCAGCGTCGCGATCTTTTAGCAGGACACGCACACCTTTAGCAGCAGACACTTGTGCGATGCCAGCTCCCATGAGACCAGCACCAACAACTGCCATAGTCTCCACAGGCTTCGCAGGTTTGCCATAGCGATTCTTCTTAAGAGCCGTCTGTCCGAAGAAGATACTCATGAGAGCCTTAGCCTCGCTGGTCATCCCCAGTTTGGCAAAATTGGAAGCCTCGACCTCCAGACCTTTCGTGAGACCTTGCTCAATCCCCGTTTGTGCGGCCTCCAGAATGAGCTTGGGCGCGGGGTAATGACCTCCCGTCTTCTTCTCCACCATCTCCCCGGCCTTGTTGAAGACAACCTGACGCAGCGGCGTATCCTCCAATATGCGATTGACCAGTCCTTTGCTCTTCTTCTTAGGCTTCAGACTGCCTGCAGCCAGTTGTTCAGCTGCTGAGATGGCTGCACTCTCGAGTGCAAATGGGTCGGCCACTTGGTTCACGAGGCCCATTTTAAGGGCTTTGTCAGGCTTAATGTTCTTGCCCGTGAGCATCATATCCAGTGAGGCCTGGATGCCCACAAGCGCTGGCAGACGCTGAGTGCCTCCTGCGCCTGGCAAAAGCCCCAGCATGACTTCAGGTAGCGCCAACTGCGTCTTCTTGCTCTGCGCAGCCACACGGTAGTGGCAGGCGAGTGCCACCTCGAGGCCGCCACCCATGCAGGAGCCCTCGATGGCTGCCACGAAGGGCTTTTTAGAGTCAGCCAGGCGGTTCATAAAGGCCTGGCCAGCGCTAGACATGGCACGCATCTCCTCCTCCGTCTTGCACGCGTTAAGCTCGGCGATGTCAGCGCCAGCGATGAACACACCAGGCTTAGCTGAGATGAGCACCACAGACTTGATATTGGGGTCGTTCTCCACCGTGTCCAGCATCACCGACATTTCCGACGTCATCTTGGATGAGATCGTGTTCACTTTAGCCGCTTTGTCGTCCAGCCGCACAATTGCCACGCCGTTGGAGCGCGTCTCCATCGTCAGGAAGGCGCCCGAGCTGGAGGCAGCACTGGACAGTGCGCGCGAGGACGCCAGGCGCGCAGAAAGCGCAACCCGACGAAGAATTGAGGTCGTCTGAAGCACCATTACGACAGGTCGGAGCTTGTGTTAGGATTGCAAAGTGAAAAGATCTCGGGAAGGCTCCCGACGGGATTCCGACGTGAAAAGACCCATCAGCCAATCAGATTTGAGAGTACTTCGACTACAACTGTACCAGTAGTTGCAGCAACATACCGGTAAACTTATTCGGGTGTTAAGCCTAACTCTACTCGGACTTGGGCCTCTGCAGCGAGCTGAGCAGTGGCTGCTGCAGCATGTTTGGGATGGCGTTCTCTTCCACAGGAGGTACAACGTCTTCGTCTGAGGACCCGTCGCTTGTCAAGCACGTGGTGTCGACGCCCAGCGCTTCCAGGAATTGCCGCAGCTCCGAGTAATACTTGTCGCCTCCGCGTAGCCACGAGTCGTTGTGTGTTCCGCCAGGTACAGGAAACCACACGACACGCTGACTCGAGGTGGCGAGAGAGCGCAGCTTCTCCATGTGAGAGTGAGGCACCAACTCGTCCTGCATACCCGCGATGAACAGGATCGGTTGCTTTAGCTTTTGAATAGCCCGCTCGTTGTCCCAGTCCATTCGCAGAACCAGCGGCTTGACGTACGTGAGGAATGGCATCAGTGCGTCTACCATGGCTGAAATGCTGAGGAATGTGTTCTCCAACACAACAGCAGCCACCTGCACCACAACACATTTGGTTAGACGTATCGACACAGATCACCAGCTATTTTTTTCGTACTCTAGAAGGCTCTTTCTCAGCGAGGTAGACAGACACTGCTCCACCGAGCGATCGGCCAAACGCCACGAGATTCGACGAGTCGATGTCCGTACGAGCGTACATGGCGTCCAAAACAGCCTGTCAATGTCAATTACGGTACGCATTAACTATCAGCAATCTTAACTGATCCAGTGAACATTATACCTCAGCATCTAACTTAATCCCTTCCTCCGACGGGGTTCCCTCACTGTGGCCGAATCCTCGGTAGTCCACGAGCAAAATGTTAGCTCCCACCTTCCGGAACAGCTGCACGGCGTTCGGCAGACGATAGCCAATGTCTGCAGTAAACGAGTAGTTGTTAATATCACAATTTTAACAATAACGCAACAACATGCGCGATGAACTCACTTCCGGCGTTGCCGTGAAAGAAGATGAGCGTCGGACGAGTGGAGTGCTCCTTCTGCTTCATAAGCCACGCGTTGATCTTCACGCCGTCTTTGCATGGGATCATTAGGTCCTCATACTCGATGGAGAATTCTCCGGGATGTCGGTATCCTGCCAATAGCAGAATGATCAGTACTTGCTGAGGAATGACTGTGCTTGAGATAACGCACCGGGGGGGTTGTCTTTCGTAAATTTGGAGGCGCCTGGAATCGTAGGGAAGTAGAGTAGCCGGTCCTGGTACATGTACAGAAGGAACAGCGCTCCCACGCACAGCGTGCCGCCTGTGTAGGCCGCGCTGAGCAGCCAAGACGTCAGAGCCTGGCTCGGGCTGGCCATCACTCAGTTAATCTCAGTATTGCGAATTCAGCCAAACAAATTTCGAAAATAGCTCATCAAGTTTATAAAATTGCTTTCGACATAGCCACGCACTTCAAGCAAAGATCGTAAAAAGTAGTGATGCATTTACTGGATTGTTACCGACGAGCATGGTTCAAAGACCCAACAAGAACCGTGAAAGCAATGGTCTCACCAGTCGTCAAACCATGTCTACAGAATGGAGCACTTAAAAGATCGTTGCTTGGCCTTGGGATTCTGCTGGTTCGTGATCACACATCGAATGGCCTCGTCGAACACCGACTTGAGCCCCTTCTGCGTCAGTGCCGAGCATTCCATATACTTGTACGCACCTAGCTCGGTTTTGAGAGTCTCACCCTGGTCACATCAACAGCAGCAGCACGTTAGTCTTATCATCACCTTCCCACCGCCTTCTTGTTCTCGGAATAAAAATACCTGCTCCTTGGTGATTGGGGCGAGCTTCTTCTCTTTAAGCTTTTCGAGCGTTTCTTCGTCGTCCCGTAGATCTGACTTCGTGCCCACGAGAATGAACGGCACACCCGGAGCGTGATGACGGATTTCTGGCAGCCACTTAGACTTGACGTTCTCGAACGAGGCACGACTGCAGCAATAACATCATATTAGAGCAAATCCAATAACCACAACCAAGTGACATCACCATACCTAACGACAGAGAAGCAGATGAGAAACACATCTGTCTGTGGGTAGCTCAGCGGACGCAGGCGATCGTAGTCTTCCTGACCTGCTGTATCCCAAAGTCCCAGGTTGATGGGCCTGTTGTCTACCATGACGTTGGCGCTGTAGTTGTCGAACACCGTGGGGATGTACTCGCCTGGAAAGGTGTTGGTCGTGTACGAGATGAGCACGCACGTCTTGCCCACAGCTCCGTCGCTAGCGGGAGGTTGTCAAGCACAAGAAACATCAGCCTCCCGATCCTCTTCACCGGACTAGACAATTCTACGCTGCCACTCACCCGACGACCACACACTTCATGTTCTGCATCGCGGACATTGCTACTGACAGCTTCAGCTCAAGAATCGCGGAGGAGTGCGCCGCGAGCCGTTTGCTGTAGTGAAGGGACAGCGCCCATGCCCACAATACAGCAGTTAGCCGTTACCAGCATCAATTCAGCACTAAAAATAGAAGAAGGAAACAACGATTTTAACCCAATACTAAAATCAAGTTAGTTGAGGCGAGGTGGCGATCCAGTTCATTAAGTCCAGAGCCAACCAAGACCTTCGTGGTCAGGAAGAGCTGGAAATGGGTCTTCAATTAGGCATCACGGCTACTGGTAATGGTGGTCAGTAGTACTGACTCAGTGCACCTTTGGTGTCCGGCGCACGTACAAGTATTGTCCGTGCATTTGCATCGCAAAAAAACTTCTCCCCCCCCCTCCCACCTACCCGAAAAGATGTTGGAGTCATCACCTTCTGATCTAGCGAACTTCATTAAACTTGAGCTCTGTGGCAAGAAAATAATTATCAGTAAAAAATTAACAACGGTGATGCATCCTAAGAACAATTGTAGCAACGAACCAAGGGATCCCGTGTACTGCTCGAGCTGGTTCACCATATCCTCAAGCTCCGTGAGCTCCTCATCGATATCGTCGATGATATTCATTTTCTCCCCCATTGTTTTTGCTGACCAAACGTCAAATACACATGATCACTTCAGCTATAATAGTTGCTCCATTCCCCCGTTTCCCTTGCAGTAATAAAATACCTCGCGCCTCCAGCACCTTAGACAGTTTGCCGACGCTTTCGACCTCGTGCTTCATACCCATGTACTTTCCGTTGATGTTGTAAACAACCGTCTGCATCAACTGCATCGACTCGAGCGAGCCTGACCCAGTACACAAGCGCTAGCATCAGATTGGGGACTGCCACGGAGGTCCCGCTCCTATGAGAGCCTTTAAACTTATACATACTACTCACCATCTAGTTGAGCACCCACATACGCCGCCACGTTCTCGCACACGCGCTGCGTGAGCTCACTCAGCTCGTCCACCTCCGCCTTCTCCATTTGATTGGACTATGCTCTGGGATAGCGATGAAAGGCGATAGGCTTACACACGTCACATATCTGTGACGTGTGAGACTTAAGCGATTTCTAAAAGAAATGTTATTCATACTTCTCTTTGCTTCTACATCGAGTCACTGCGCTTAAGCATCAGACTCTCATAGCGACGTGACGTCGAGTCGGCGGGAATGCAGCGTGGGTTGCGGCGAGGAGATAGGTTGTACCTGGGAGAAAATTCGGACGCTGCAGTAGGTGACAGCGAAAAATATGAGCAAAAGCCTTCTCGGAGTGCTCTGGGGGTCGGTGACTGCTTGCTCCATGGGACCACAATCCACTCAACAGCAGGCAGTTTGAGGAAATTGCGCACACGCGGCTCGGCCGTTAGAGGGATTTCCTGGTCCAGAACGCCTTGAAAATTTAGTCGAAGCAGACGTGAGAGAAACTGCTGCAAGTACGCAGCTCGCCGCTCTAAGAAACTTGCTGACAGGTAGCGGAAGAAAGTTTTCGGTGGAAGCAGCTTACGAACCTGCAGCGATGGCACCTTCTCCTCGAGCGTCGTGGCCAGCTCGTCGAACTCGGAGTAGCGACGATCAACAGTTGTCATCTCCAACTCTCCGTTCGAGTAGAAGAGCACACTGATTGCAAACTTAGCGACACTATCCATGACCGACACACTGGAAACCTCCACAGTGAATGATCCGTCGTTTGGCGTATCGTCCTGCCAGTAGCTTGGGTCAATAAAGCGGACGCACTTACCACCTCCGGATCGATTGAGGCAACTGTTCGACCGCATCAGCTGACCAAAGTCATCACAAGTGCTACCTGCATCATACGAGCGTCCGAGCACACGAGAAAAAGCAGCTTCACGTGGACATCGCCATTTCCCAAAACAATTCGCCTCCGTAGACAAGCTCACGTCAATATCCAGCCAAGCACTTGGCAGTACCGGCCGATTGCCGCCATCTTGGCCTTCAATTCGAGCGTCGCATGAGCTCGTTGCGACGATTGTCTGGTCGCCAAAGCTCAGCGTGAGCCCCAGAAAATCGCGTACGCGTACGTTGTTAGACACAGGCTCTTTCAGCTCGACAAGTCCGTTGAAGCCTATCTCGGTGATTTGCATGACGAAGCTCAAGAATTGAATCACTTTATCGCCGTACTCGTTCAGAGCTCGCTGCTTCGGCGTCGTGATGAGGCGTGTTCCATGCGTAGGCATCTTGTCAGCCAAGCGATGACCAAGATACTGCAGCGAGAGTGCCGCTGTTAACCAGGCGATCTCCTGTTGTGTTCGCTCGACGTACGATACATAGTACTGCCGCTTTGAGGCCGGCTTGACACGAGAGCCATCGGAAATGGATCTGGCACAGCAACACATTACTGCAATGCGGAAGCAGATCTCGCCGTGGTCCAGAAAGACCGACGACATTTTGATCGTAAAGTCCCCGGGCGACGCAAACGCAGGCGACCACGAGTTGGGTTGGCAGAAGACGCGACATAGCGCTTCATGCATTTCTGGAAGCTCGATCTCGTCCAGATCCACTTTGGACAGCGCCATACTTCGGGTCTTGCGGACCTTCAGCGTTTGAGGATCTGGAGTGCGAATGATCTCCATCAATGTCGATGTCATCCTGTTCTCGGCCTGGTGTAGCGGCCGCACTTGAGCCGCGAGGCTATCGTAGCTGCGGATCGACCGCTCCAGTTGAGAGCCGTGAGATGCTTGAGGCCGCTGGAGCTCCGTCGCCGCCAACGCTCGTTTCTCCAGGAACGTTTCGTAGGCCAGCCGCTTATTTGCAGGCGGCAGTGATATCGTCTTGAAGGCAGTTGGCGTCGAGGGCGCCGCACTGGCTCCACAAGACAAGGACAGCATGACCTCGCGAGCCACCAACCGCCCGCCTGGCAGTTGAGAAGAAATGAATGAAAGAAGAGAAGTGCGGGGCTTCGAGAAAGTCCACCATCACCAAATACGAGAGTATCTATAGCTTCCAATGCCAATTGCAAAAGGACCAATTTAGCATCCGTGGACGCTGGTAAAAATGGGCGTTGCATCTCACACCATTAGCTCGGCAAGATCAACTCGAAATTTTTGACTCAACAACCGCCAAAGCTGATTAGCGGCAGTTCACACATCGACAGCGACACCTGTTGACAGCTTGAGCTGGAGTTGCCTGGATGAAGACTGGCTGCTCCTCTTCCTTCGCTTCAAGCGATTCGCTTGTTGTGTCTATGGGTGCGAATCAGATGGCTGCCACTTTAAATGTTAAGGTAGATTGGCATATCATTTCCAGATCGACCCTCCGGCCTTCAAGTGAATAGGAACTAGAAGAAGAACACTACAGTACAATGGCTTGTTCGTGCGCAGGTCTCGTGTCTCTCATCGTGTTATTCGTGGCCGTGGCGCTCAACATCGTGGCCTTCTCGCTGCCGCTCTGGACCACAAGTACGACTGTGAACGAGTCACTCCAGAGCACACTGGACAGCTCTGATTTCGCTGCAGGGGTCTGGGGTTTCTGCACAAACGTTGAAATTCTCCTCGGGCAGCAACGGAGCCAACGCAACCGCCAGCTTTGACCACTGCTACCTCTTTCACACGTCTTCTAAGTACGATGTTACGGAGGTGGATTCGAGTCTGATGGCCAACTTCTCCGACTACAGCGTGTGTGATGGCTACAGTCGCGCCGGCGATGTAAGCGAAGAAACACAGCTCTCGTATGCTACCATGCTGGCCACGACGGCAGGCATGGACCCGACACAGTTCAACAAGTTCCTGGACAAGTCTTGTGGTGCTTTGGGATCGGCGACACTTGCCTTCGGAGGCATCAGCATGAGTGCGGGAGCTCTCTCCTTTGTGGCACTCACGCTGGGCATCACGTGCTGTAAGAAGCGCTCCATCTTCGTGCTGGGTGGCAAAGTATTTGTGGGTATCGCACAGGTCACGGCCATTCTCATGTTCGTGTTGTGGGTCCCACAGGCGCGTCCACTGAGCAAGGCCGACGACGTCACGCTCAACGGATCGTTCGTGCTGGCCGTGGTCAGATCCGCGCTCTACATTATCGCATCGCTACTAGTATCACGCCACGTTATGAAGGGAAAGTAGACGGCTGAGTTCAGGTAGTATTGTAGGCAAGATTCGATTCGTTCAAGAGTGCTAGTTGATTCCAATGACAAGAACTTCAAAATGACTTTATATGAAGCTGGTGATTGGTGGATCTTGCATTACGACCTTCCAGCTTTTGACAAGCAAAAAGACTGGGAACCAGCTAAAGATGAATCGGCTGAGCTTTATCTTGCTACTTTGCGCGACCTTCCTGTGGAGTGGCAACGCTTCCATCGTCGACAGTGATGCGAGTGCATTACAACAGGAAGACGCCCTGTTGAAGGGGCTGCATGTGCTGTATCCGGAACCGAACGCGCAGTACAAGTCTCCGCTAGTTTTCCGCTTCCAGATGGTCACGCCGGACTTCAGCTCACTAATGGCCGCGTACACAGGGCATCGTTGGCTGTGCTTGCAACTGGACAATACCTGGCGGCGCTGTATTCCAATCGAGAGCGGGGATCTCATGATAGAATCAATAGACAGTGGCAACCACACGGCGCGGCTCGTCATGATCGATTCAGCTACTCCTGAAACAGGAAAAAAGCTACTACAATCAGAGGACGTCACATTTACCGTTCTGAGCGACGAGGGGCTCGCAGCGTCCTTGAAACAGCTGCGCCTTGACGAATTAGCGCTCTACGGACCTGAATTCGGAGAAGCTGATATCTGGAGCCTACTGAGGTGGTTTCAGCAGAGGAGGAGCGAAGGAGCAGCAAACCATGTAGCTCATGCCACCGGTGACATGACAGCTAATACCCCGTACAATAGCCCGACCAATCCGCCGTTGCTGGTCATCGGAGTGAAGACCCGAGTCATCGACGGTTTCCCGTTCCGACAGGCCATCCGCCGAACCTGGGCAAGCAAGGATAGCTTACCGGCAAATGTTCGCGTACTTTTTGCTGCTTGCAGGCTCCCAGGTGATGCGAGCGAAGACGTTCGTCAGGCTATCGCCTACGAGCTGAAGATTTACGGTGGTGACTTGCTCACAGACGTTCTGGACTGCGAGGATTCGTACGCAACCTTGCCCCACAAGGTCAAAGAATTTCTTCATCTCGTTGGAACCGACCATGCACTGCGACGAGCTGGATACGTCATGATCGCTGATGAGGACGTGTATGTACGGGCTGATGTCTTTGCGGAGCAACTCGCAGCCTTCGAACCCCTCACTGATCTGTATGCCGGCCACGTGAAAGAAGGCAACACGTTCCTTCCAGAGCGAGACCCGCAGCGACGCTACTATCTGCCTGAATCCGTGTACCCACTTGACGAGTTCCCACCTTTTGCATGGGGTCCACACTACCTCATGTCGATGGACGTGGTTAATTTCATTGCGAACAATCGTGAAGAGTTACAGGGACTCGGATGCCTGGACGATGTGACCATCACATTGTGGCTTCTTGCCATCCAAGTCCATCCGCAGCATATCGCTCAATTCCAAAATTTGCGTGAGGCACCATGCACGAACGACCTTCTCGCGTACGCAGACTTGCGGCCATCCGCCATGCAAATTATCCACACCAACTTGAAGTCAGGTCGCAACTTCTGCCACAGCTTCAATCGGTACACTTGGGATAAAGATGCAAAGAAGGCGGAGCTAGCCTAGGCACAAGCTGCTCTCACCATTTCGCGTTGGTTTCACTAGCATAATACCAGATGCTCTTTCCAATAGAGCGAAAAAGCTTGCCGCTAAAAGTTTAATCTTTCCAAAGCCTCACTATGCGCTTCAACCAATAAATTGTCACAAATGAACACAGTGAAAGAGCAGTACTTAAGCTTGGCCAAGGAAATAAACCTTGTGCATTGTTCAAGAACTTACCACACGCGGGTCTAAACCTTCCGTCTTTCTCACCAGCAGAGCTCATTTTGCCTTTTCATCCGGAGAACACAAGCACATCAAGAATCACCAACCTTCGCCATCAACGATGCCCTCAGCATTCGCCTTCGTGCCGCCTGTCCAAGGAGATCTTCCCCACCACCCCCTACCGACTCGAACGTTCCAGTGGACGCCTGTGGATCCCAACACCACACGTCTTCGCTGGACGCGATTCCGTACTGTCCCCAAGACCATCGTCGCGCCTTCTTCAGTAGACAGCACCGCTGTTTCCAAGTGTGCACTTCGTCACGCCGTCCTCATCCTCGACAGCGCTGCTGCCATCACGCCGCTGATCGAGATCGTCGACAGCTCTGTCACCACACCGCTGATCGAGACCAGCGATTCTCACGAGGCTGCCAGCCGCAGCCAATGTCTGACCATCATGCTGTACAAACCTCTAAAGACGCCCCAAGAAGAGCTAAAGCTCGGTTTTTCCTGCACCGACGTCGCCGCACAAGTCCAGAACGCCAAGCCGACGGTGGTCACGACCATGGACGACTTCACCGGTACGCCCACGTACCACAGCTTGTCAATCGTCGCATACAAGGCCCAAGACACCACGGTCTCAATCCCCTTCTTAAGAAGCTCCTCGGCGGCATTCATCATAGAGCTGTACGTCAGGCTTCTCGCGGTACCTGCAGCAAACGCCTCTCTAATTGCCGCGGCCGATGATGGTTTTAAAACGAGCACCGTCGCAGCTGCCGATATTGCCAATGGCGACATCAACGAGCTCCAATCTCAACAAGAAGTCGAGGAAGCCCATAGACCTGTACTTCCTAGTCGACTCCGTATCCAACGTGTGCAGCCACACGTACACGACTTGAAGTGGAAGGCTAAGACAGCCGACACCAAGGCTCACCGAGCCACTCGAGTCGCAGCTCGTCCCACGCCAACTTCTACTTCAATACACCCCGTCCAGCCCAACAAGAACGTGGCGTCCAAGCTGTTCAGCTACCTCAAGGACGCCACGTATATCGGATACCGAGCCGAGTCCAAGGCGCGACGTAGTCAAGCGAGTGCGGCCACCCCTCAGCTTCGGTGGATATGAAAACGACGGCTTCTCCGTCGATGGCAGAGGTCCTCACATCCACATAATACTCCGAAGTAGTAGTACCTGCACATTGTCTGTAGCACAGCAACACTGTGAGATGCCAGCCCCTGTGTGAAGAGGCTAGCACCAGCAGTACATACAAGTGGACTGTCAGTGCCTGGCATTGACACTGACAGCCGATCCTACATCCTATCCTACGCCTGTTGCTGCAGCCTGCGGCTGCGCACTTACCGACGTACCACGTGCGGTTATACCAAGTTTACTATGATCAATGGACAAGAACGACTGTGCTGCCGTGCTGCTCACGACGACACTGACTTAGGTAAAGTATGGTTTATATTAGTTTATGTATCGAGTAGAACTTGCGGAGAGGCGTACTGGCTTGCGTGAGGCTTGCTCTCTCTCTCTCTCACAATTCAATTTGCGGCTCAGCGAACCTCAGAGAGAAGAGCAAGCCCACACCAGTACTGCAGCCCTGTCGTGGCCTTTTGCCCGGCACTCACTGTGTTTACGTACCTCTTTTGATTGCTTTACTACTTAAGTGTAAATCTATTCTAATGGCACCTACGCTTAGAAGTGACCTACGCTTAGAGAGCAGTCCAGTGAAGCGCCCTGCGTCACCTCAGGTTATGAGCCCAAATAGGGTCCATGGCTCGACAACGGACGCACCTGGTGTGGAAGATCAAAACGCTGGCGGAGTTTCGGCGAATGGGAGTCGAGGAGCGCGCCGATTGGCTCATAATGTGACTGATGTAGCTACTGGACGTGACGATGATGTTCTGTCACACGAAGAAGCCGAACACCTTATCCGGTCATTATCCGGAATTCAAGGTGGTCGATCATTGGTAGAAAATCTACTTGAAAGATTGCGAACTCGCAACTTTCCAGTTAGAAACTAGCCACCACCGCCACAAAGCAATCCAAGTGACGGCAGTGACCCCAGCACAGGGCACAGCGAAGCCCAGAGCAGTCTACCAAGCATGCTGGACAACCAGAACCCCGGCGGGCGCTACGACGACGCAGAGCTCGCAGAGCACACGAAGTCGCTGCGCAACATGGCCGACATTCGGCTGCCCCCGTTATCAAAGAAGGAAGAATACACGGCGTGGGTTAGTGAGGTGCCGTTGCATTTTGAGAGCTGCCTGCTGGGCGAGATTACCTATGGTGCCGAGAGATTTGACTCCAAATAGGGCTACAAGAGGCCTAAGTATGCTGAGTGGTACAAGGCAAGGAAGGTGAAGGCTTTCTCAGCCCTAGCATTGTCACTCTCGGTGGATCTACGAACAACATTCAAGATCAACTCCATCCGTGATCAAATGGATGCCCCGTCACTACTTTGGCAACGAATTACTGAGCATTTTGAGGCGGGTGACGGCGTTAACCCTGACTACCTACGGCGCGAACTGATGAACCGTCAGCTGCAGCCCAAGGAAGCTGTGACTAAGTATGTGCAAGACATTGATGCTATAGTGCGCCGACTGCGACTAGCGAAGGGCGAGTTTGAAGAGTGGGAACATGCAAGTCTACTTATCTCGAACACGCTGTTGATGTTTCCTGAGCTGGCACGAGAGCACTCACTCTGGATGAGCAAGCACGATCGTCGGACCATGACACTTGCTGAAGCGCTACAGCGCCTGCGCACTGCGGAACACTCAAGCAACCAGTTGCAACAGCAGATGTCACTAGCGGCGCCAAGGACAACGCAGTCAAACACGAACCAAGTGAATAATGTGAGCCAACATGCAAGACAAGGACATGCAGGCAAGCGTCAGAGGCAGCGCAAGGGCAAGAATGCTGAAAAGAAACAGCGCTATACCTGTGCTAACTGTGACCAGCATGGCCATTGGTACGCAGAATGTACTGCAAACACTGGCATGGAACTGAAGCCTGAGTTGGTACAACGACTGAAGAAGAAGAAGACCAAGAAGCAGGCGGTCTCACTAATTAACTCCGTGCGCCGCGTGCATACGATGCCAACGACTAGTGAACCGCGTCGTCTGTTTGAGAACCTGGCGCTGAGATCGCCGCACCCAAGTGAAGGTGCGACTGGTGCAAGCCGTGAGAAACGCTCGGTATCACCCATCTACTCTCCGCCATCATGTGCAAGCGATGACGATGAGACGGAGGAACGCAAAGTCGAACCGGCGGATGATATGAGTGTACCGATGACGCCGCAGCAATTGCAACTTCAACCCAGTCAAAGCACGCAACTTACCCAAGTTGAGCAACCTTCACAGGCTGTGCAAGGTGTTCAACCCAATCAAAGCATGCAACTTACTCAAGTTGAGCAAACTACTCAAGCTGTGCAAGGCAACCAACCCATTCAAAGTACCCAACCTAGCCTGAGTATGCAACCTGTTCAAACAAGCTGCAAGCCATGCAGCCGATGCAACTACTGCAGCCTATGGCGAGTACTCAGCATGAGGTCGGAACATCGTATGGATGGCAGATACCGACAATGGATGCTGCGCAGCACCAGTGGGTGGTGGGGGTGGGTGGACATTTTCTAAGACCACTTCCGACGTGGGATGCACTGTTCTACTCCTTAGGCCAGGGTTTTTCGAGTGGATTGCATAGACCTACGTTTGAGCCAGGCCATAGAGGTGGACCACAAGTGGGTTCATCTGTGCCAGAAGATAGCTACCAAGGTCGTTATGCTGAGCCACAAGGATATCAAGGTCTTGAAGGACGACGGTACGATGGAGGATCGTATGGTGGACAGAGAGGATCGTATGGACCATCTTATGGAGGACTGTTTGAAGGTGAGTGGCCTGGACTAAGAGAAGCACGTACCAATCAACCCGTTGACTATGGGCGAGGCTACACATCACCTTTTGGAGGAGGAGACTGGAGACTGCCACCTCGGGAGAATGTTGGACCCCCAAGATCGTCGCTACCGCGCTACTCACCGATGAGAGGTCCACCTGGGCCGCGCTACCAAGGACGTTCGCCAGATCGTGGACGCTCACCCGATCGCAGATACTCGCCAATTCGTGGACGCTCGCCACATCGCGGAAACTTTAGGCCGTCATGGTCACCACCTCGCTGGCGCTCGCCACCGAGAAGACGTGCAGGACAGCGTCACTCGCTGCCAAGAGGACGATCCCCATTGCGTGGCCCCAGAGTCGAGGCATGTCGTCTCCTCGTGGGCAACAAAGACGCGATGGACCAGTGCAACGCAGACGTGGAGGACGCAGTCGGTCGCCACGACGGAATCAGATGAGTCACTATGGACCTCAATCTGAAGAGGGACGCCAAGAAAGTAACAGTACCCAAGGCAATGAGACAGGTCCCAGAGGTGGACCAACTCAGGGTACTGAGACCAGCCAAGGACAAGGCACTGCGAGCCAAGGTCAGACGTTTTCAGTGAATGCAGTTGGACGAAATGAGAACATGCAATCTGTTGAGAGAAACTTTACGGAGTGGATCCTCGACTCGGGATCACAGGCCAACATTTGTGGTGATCTATCTCTGTTCACGACACTGCGAGAAGACAAGACGAGCCGACTCGACTTTGCAAATGGCACTATGGAGCACACGACGGTTAGTGGCTCTGTCCTACTGCGAGTGATCAACCAAGCGACTGGTGAACTTGAGGATCGTCTGCTGGATGATGTAGTCTACACACCAAACGCCAAGGTCAACCTGATCAGTATGGGATATCTTCAGACTACAGGAAACTACAAGCTGATGTGCTCAATGGACCAGAAGACGGCGTGGATGTCGACACCGGGCACTATCCTAAAGTTTGAGATGCGAGACAATCTCTACCGGCTGCGGAGTGAAAAGGCAACCGGTGTGATGGTCATGGCCAAGGCTAAACAAGCTGTAAAGGACAAGAAGACGATGGAGCTCCTGCATCAGCGCTTTGGCCATCTACACATGGCTTTGCTTCAGGTGATGGCTGATAAGATGGACTTGGGGGTAAAACTCAACACGAAAGATCTGAACACCTACGAATGCATTGCCTGTGCTGTGAGCAAGACAAAATCCATGAGTCACAAACGACTTCCAGTTCGCTCGACTAAACCACTTGAAACTCTGACTATGGACATATGCACGATGAATGTGGAGACAGCAAGTAAAGCTACTATGTTCATGTTCATTGTGGATGTTGCTACGAGACACAAGTGGGCCTATCTACTTGAGAAGAAGAGTCAAGCTACCTGGTTCATCTTGAAGCTGCTAAAGGAGTTGCGGACGCATCCCAACGACTACAGAGTGTTGCATCTTCGGTCGGACCAAGGTGGCGAATTCGCTGGAGCGGAGCTGCATGAGTACTGCGTTGAACACGGTATCGTGCAGCAGTTCACGAACGCGTACTCTCCCCAAGAGAACGGGATCGCAGAAAGGGCGAACGACATTGTACTGCCTCGTGTGCGAGCGCTGTGACAGCAACACATTTACCGAACATGTTGTGGGGGGAAGCTTTGCTACACATGGTGACAACACTAAACATGCTACCCACCAAGATGTTGAAAATGACTTCGTCGCACGAGAAGCTGTACGGACGGAAGCCGCCCTTGAGTATGTTGCGAACCTGGGGCTGTATTGCACATGTACGAGTACCACCTGAGTCAAGACAAAGAAAGGAGAAGCTTGAACCACGGTCACAAATGTGTCTATTGCTCGGTTACAGCGACTCTACGAAGGGCTACAAGTTTCTAGACCTATTGACCTGTCAGGTGAGACTGCACAAAGAGAGAACTGCCGCTTTCACGAGGAGTTCACAGTGGATGGAACCTACGTGAAGCAACTACTGGAGAGTGCGTACCTGGACACACTGCACGTGTTGCCGGAGAAGCCACCAGTAGTGAGAATTAAGACGAGTATCGAGACCTACACTACAGAGAATAGTGGGACTGTGCCGATGAGCAAGGCAGGTGAACTCCTAGAAGTTGAATGGGCTGTGGACGGAGAACAAACGTCCAGTGGGAGTGCAGAGCATGATGACTCGTCGAGCGTCGAACAGCAAGAAGTGGAGAAATCTGCTGATTCTCAGGTTGCACCTGAGAAGGGACCTGAACCAGTGAAGGTCACAAAGAGACGCAAGCGCAAGACGCGAAAGAAACCCGTGAAGGAAGACACTGGATTTGCAATCCAGGAACCACCAGTCGAGCCATGTCTGAAGCGACCGAGAAGGACGCAGAAGGCAAACGTACGATTGAGCGACTACGTGGTAGGCCAAGTGATAGCGCATGGCATGGACGTGGACATTCCTACAACCTACAAGCAGGCACGGAAGAGTAAGTTCTGGACCCAGTGGCGGGCCGCGATGCTGGCAGAACTGGCATCGCTGAAGAAGCACAAGACCTGTCGACTTGTACCGCGGAGAAAGGCGAAAGGTGTCAAGGTGATTACATGCCGATGGGTCTTTGCGGTGAAACGAGATGAGCGTGGACGTGTCAAGCGGTTCAAAGCTCGTCTTGTAATCCACGGATTCAAGCAAGAGTTTGGCATCAACTACAGTGAAACATATGCACCGGTGGTTCGCTTTGAAACTATTCGTGCGGCCATCTACTTCGCTGTGCAGCGAGGATGGGTGATACTCCAGTACGACGTAAAGACAGCGTTCCTGTACGGAGATCTCGACGAGATGATATACATGGAGCAGCCGCCTGGATTCCAAATTGATGGACCAAGCGCTGTATGCGAGCTATTGAAGAGCCTCTATAGATTGAAACAGGCACCTAATGTTTGGAACCGGACTCTACATGCGAAGTTGGTGACATTGGGCTTTGAGCGCACAGACTCAGACTATACGTTGTATGCGCTAAAGGAAGAGGGTGAAGTTAAGCTGCTATTGACTGTCTACGTGGATGACCTACTACTAATGGGATCCCGAGACCTGTGCGTCAAGATTGCAGCTTCACTGCAAGAAACCTTTGAGCTGACTACGATGGGGACTGTCAAGTACCTTTTTACTTGGTGTCGAGATACTGCTTGACAGACCAAGCAGACAGATTGTTTATTGTCAGAAACAATATGTGCTGGAAGTACTTAAGCGGTTCCACATGTCGGATTGCAACGGATGTACTACTCCTGAGGCTACTACACTGTCTAAGGCGACTGTACCTGCAACAACGGACTATCTACCGTACCGTGAACTAGTGGGAGCACTTCAGTACCTAGTGAATGCGTCAAGGCCTGACATTGCACATGCAACGAGACATCTTGGCAAGTTCCTGGCGTCCTACGATCATACACACTACGCGCAAGCTAAGAGGGTACTTTGGTATCTAAAAGCTACGTGTTATTACGGGTTGGTGATGGACGTACCTGAGGGAACTACTGCAAATGTACGCTGCTACTCAGATGCCGACTATGCAAATGGTCCTGTGGACAGAAGAAGCATCAGTGGCTATGTAAACACACTTGACGGCAACGTGATATCGTATGCATCGAGAAAACAGGGGATTAACTCCCTGAGTACGTGCGAAGCGGAATATGTGGCGATGGCTGAAGCCACCAAAGACGCGCTGTGGCTTGCGGGCCTGTGTGACGAACTGGCCTGGACGCATCCAGTACCATTACTGTTAGGTGATAACGAGGGAGCAATCTCGTTGACCACCAAACCTGGGAAGCACTCCAAGTCTAAACACATAGACAACAAGTATCATATGCTGAGACGAAACGTGGAGCTGAAATTGCTTACCACGCAGCACATTGGGACCGAGCAGATGATCGCGGACATCGTGACCAAGCCACTTGCGGTGGTGAAGTTCAGTCGCTTTCGTCAAGCAATGAAGGTGTTACCAGTGGTTTCCTCGGATGATACTACTACCTCTACGGAGCCTGCGGCTTCTACCACGGCTGCTATTGCTGCGGCTACTGCGGAGACTGCGTCTCCTGCTCCGACTGCTATTGCTGCAATTCGAAAGGAATAGGACAAACGCGAGAAGCGCGAGCGATTGCGTTGGATGAGCGTGATAACTACAGTGTGGTTTGAGTGCGATGGTGTGCTGGGAAAGCCAAGCAGGTTGCACCTGTCTTGCGTAGTTCTACTACGATACTACACGTGCTACCCCTGTGTTGACAACGGACGCTATGACTACGAATGAGAAGGCTACTGCTGTGGATGAGGACGGTGCTGACTGTGGCATGCTGTTTACTGTACGAGCTACTGTGCTGCTGGTCTACAGCTTTGATCTATGGGGCAGCGACTTCAACCTGTGAAGTCTTGTGTGTGATCGCATCAATCAAGGCGCTGTATTGCCGAGATCAAGTGAGAGTGTGAGATGCCAGCCCCTGTGTGAAGAGGCTAGCACCAGCAGTACATACAAGTGGACTGTCAGTGCCTGGCATTGACACTGACAGCCGATCCTACATCCTATCCTACGCCTGTTGCTGCAGCCTGCGGCTGCGCACTTACCGACGTGCCACGTGCGGTTATACCAAGTTTACTATGATCAATGGACAAGAACGACTGTGCTGCCGTGCTGCTCACGACGACACTGACTTCGGTAAAGTATGGTTTATATTAGTTTATGTATCGAATAGAACTTGCGGAGAGGCGTACTGGCTTGCGTGAGGCTTGCTCTCTCTCTCTCTCACAATTCAATTTGCGGCTCAGCGAACCTCAGAGAGAAGAGCAAGCCCACACCAGTACTGCAGCCCTGTCGTGGCCTTTTGCCCGGCACTCACTGTGCTTACGTACCTCTTTTGATTGCTTTACTACTCAAGTGTAAGTCAATTCTAATGGCACACCTACGCTTAGAAGTGACCTACGCTTAGAGAGCAGTCCAGTGACGCGCCCTGCGTCACCTCAAACACTTCACATTATTATTATTATGAATACTTAAGAACAAAGAATTTATCACCTCACAGCAACACGCTGGTAACACAAACACTTGAAATCGCTTCGTATTCTTCCAAGGCTTCGTTGACTCATCGATCGCAACCGAAACATCATTGACCAATCAGCACGTTCGCTCACAGCATCCTTGGAGTGTGGTACACAAATGGCTGCACTTCAAGGACTGCATCTTCGGAATCAACAAGCAAATATTAGATATGAATCGCTGGCTGACTACCACAGCACTGATCCTTTATGCGACTGCATCTCCAAGCCGCATTCACACAGCGTCAGACTCTCCTGCTTGCAGCGCCCTGTTCTCGGATTCAAGTGTACAAGGTGCCATCTCGTCCATCGAGATCGTCTACCCCCAGTCGACGTGAAATGTAACGGGGTACGTAGCCCTAAGTGTACCCCGGTTACATGAAGTGTGACACTTCACACTTCAGGAGTATGACACGTCATACTTCGGGATATTTGGTACAAGGTACCAAGGTCGTCCAAAGCCAAACATTGGCAAATGACATTACTTTTCTAAAGATGACTTATAGTTTGTATTTAACCCTTTATCTACCTATAAATATACTCAATTTACATTCTACCTTAAATAGGTCACTTCGCTCCCTTTCGATAAAAGGGAACCTGTGAACTGCCGTTCACTGAGAGTTTGTAAACTCTCGGAAGTTAACTTCCTCTAGCGCAAGGTGCTGTGTGACCCGTTACACTTGGTAGGACTCGTAGTCAATCCACGCCACCGCGGGTAGACTACCTGAACCTCTCCGAAGTTCGTTGCCATGAATAGGAACGACTTCTCCCATATGAACGACTCTTAGTTCGAGTCGGTCCGGAAGATGGCAGGCATCTTCGGGATGGAGGCCTTGCAGAGCCTGGTGGTGTCAACACCGGCCGAGTAGCTCGAGCGCGTCAATGCGTTCGACGCGTACGAGCAGGGCCTCATCGCGCATGTGCGGGAGAACCTGCAGGCTCCGGCGGCGGAAGCAAATCCGCCTCACCCGAAGCCAATACGGCTGAAGGTTAAGCCGTATGAAGGGAAGGAAGGCGAGAACCTTCACTTCTGGGTCCGAGAAGTAGAGCTCGCGATGGACGCGGCTCTGATCTCGACCGAGCAACTTCGTGTTGCTTTTGCACTCTCCAACCTTAGCGGCCGTGCTAAGAGTTGGGTGTATACACGGGAAGCAACATCCCCTAGATGTTTCACATCCTAGGCTCAGCTGTGTGAACAGCTCCGAGCCGCGTTCCTTCCGGCGAACTACGAGTACCGCCAGCGTTCGCGCTTCCTCTCGTGTAAACAAGGGAGGCGCGAACTGCACGAGTACGTGCAAGAGATACGGGAGCTCACGGCGTCCCTAGTGGGAAACCCACTCAATGTACACATCAAGATGACTGTGTTCATGGACGGCCTTCGAGTGGACCCCGCACGCACTCAGCTGTTCCGGGTGCAGTCAAGCACCCTTGAAGAGGCGATTCAAGTGGCTCTTCAAGAAGAGTACAGCCATCGCCAGGCGCGTACGCCGGCCTCAGCATGGCCTGGGAGTTCCTTGTCGGCTCCCGGTCGAACAAGCCCCAACGGACCAGTTCCCATGGAACTCGGGTCCGCCGAACAGCGTGACATCCGCTGCTTCGGCTGCGGGAAGATGGGCCACTTCAAGCGCGACTGTCCCGCGGAAAGACTCCGCAGACGGTCCTGTCCCAAGCCCGTCCTCAAGGGTCGCTGGCAGAAGCCAGGATCCCGGGGACAGGGGAACGCCGGGAACCAGTAGGGGCGGGGCGCCCTACTGGGGAAGAACTAAGTCTTCGTGATGGGTGCGCGGGTGGCGCGTACCACGGGGACTTAGCCCCTGGGAGTCTTCGCACTCTCGAACCGGCGAAGAGCAGCGGCGGGTTGCTCGTAGTACACGGATGTGTACGGGGATACGATCATCCCTTTAGAATCTTGATCGATTCTGGGGCGTCAAAGAATTTCGCACGCCGCCAGACGGTTGCTCGCAACAGCAACAAGTTGTCCGACGCTTTGAGAGAAAGCAAGGGTAACGAGACGGTGTCAGTGCGACTGGCCGACGGGAAGGTCGTCACTGCCCCCAACGTCCAAGTGGATCTGGCCGTCAAGTTTGAAGACTTTGACAGCCTCGAACAGTTCCCTGTTCTCGATATGGATCCATATGATATGATCCTGGGCATGCCCTGGCTTGAGAAGCACGAGCCCTGGATCGACTGGCGAGGCAAGGCAATCGGTGCCAGCCGCCCTGCGCAGTCCGACAGAGCATTGGTGAGTCATGTTCCCACCTCTGTCAGGACCCGGGGCGCCCGCGAGGGCTGCCAGGGTACCAAAGCATCCGGCAGGTGCTTGGGAGTCGTCGACGTATATGACGACTCCGAGGATGTTTTGATGGTGGCAGCGCCCAGAAGAGGCGCTGGCCAAGTGGGTAACTTAGGTCCACAGGCGGGTAACTTAGTTCCGCAGACAGCTGCAGCTGTCACGAACACTGAGAACAGCGTGTTCAGAGTGGGTAAGAGTTCCACTCACGGTCGCCCAGACCTTAACTGAAGAGGAAGACGTCGGATACGCTTCCTGTGTGGGTAACACAGTGCCACACGCGGTCGCCCAGACCTTAACTGAAGAGGAAGGCGTCGAACACGCTTCCTGTGTGGGTACCACAGTACCACACGAGGCCACGAGTGCCTGGGATGTCGTAGCGACGACATCTCTAGACGTGGGGCAGCAAAGCTCCCCGTCACAGTCGCCGTCGTCAACGACGCCGCCGCCGCCTCAAGTAGGATCCGAACTTTCGTTCCGATCGACGTCGCTTCAAGCGACTCGGAGTCCAAGGCCCCTCCGACAAGGCCGGTGGAAGAGTGTTATCACATCTTCGATGGCGAGACCGGTTTACCCGTCAAGGCATCTGGTGTCCACTTGGAAACGTTGCCAGAGGCTGCAGAGATACTGCACCTCGAGGAAATGACGGCTGAGTCTTTCCTGACCAACCTCAAGGCTGGCGAGATGGTACTCATGAGACCTGAGACCACTCGGGAGGAGCTGAACTCCTCCTCCGTTTTGGACGAGAACGTCCTGGAAGACCTGAACAAGCAGCGTCAGGCGCGCTTGGGTTCTGAGATTCTTAAGAACCCCAAGGATTCGGTGTATCCTTTGGTGAAGGAGTATGCGGACGTGGTGAACAAACACCCACCGACCCAACTCCCACCGGATCGAGGCGTACGGCACGAGATTGATCTCGTGCCCGGCACAAAGTATTGTGTCACGAGGCAATGGCCTCTCCCGCGCGAACAGTGCGAGGACATTGATGCCTTCTTCGCCGAAAGCGAAGGCAGGCATGGTGCGGGAGTCGAAATCCCCGCACTCGACGCCGACTTTCTGCGTTCGTAAGCCGAACGGAAAGTGGCGTCTGGTTCACGCTTATAACAAGCTGAACAACGCAACGGTGCCGGCCCAAACACCAATTCTACGAAAGGATGTGTTGTTGAACAACATGGCCGGGAGCGTACTGTACAGTGCGCTGGATTTGGTAGACGGATACTACCAAATCCTGATGCGAGAGAGCGACATCCCGCTCACCGCGGTAAGCACTCCAAGCGGCATGCTTTGGGAGTGGCTCGTCATGCCGTAGGACTTGTCTAACGCCCCGGCGACGTTCAATCGCCTGGTGACGCAATTGTTCCGCCCTTTGCGTACCTTCGTACAGACGTACTTCGACGACATATTCGTCCATAGCCGTGCCGAGGGAGGCAAGACGGCCATGGAGGTGCATCTGGGACACCTCCGTCGAGTGTTGGACGTAATGCTAGCGAACAAGCTCTACGTCAACATCGACAAGTGCGACTTCGCGTCACCAGAGAACAAGGTTCTCGGTTGCTTCGTCAGCAACATGGGCGTTCGGGCTGACTCTGAAAAGGTCAAGGCCATAGCAGCATGGCCAACGCCCGATCCCAGAAGGATCTTCAAAAGTTGTTGGGCTTGGCCAATTCCCTTCACAAATATAGCGCAGGGTACGCGGACCTCGCTAAGCCCTTGTCGGGCCTCCTTCAGAAAGACGCCGACTGGCACTGGGGCCAAGAGCACCATGATGCCTTTGACATCATCACGGCCAGTCTCAAGAGGCCCCTGTCCTGGCCCTGCCGGACGAGACGAAGCCGTTTAGCGTCGTCTGCCATGCCTCCGATTACGCCATCGGATGTGCATTGCTGCAGGCCGACACAGCTGGACACGAACGAGTCATCTCGTTCCAGTCCAGGCAGCTCAAAGCCGCCGAGCGGAACTACCCTGTCCACGACAAGGAGCTCCTGACAATGAAATATGCCCATGTGAAGTTTCGTGTTCACCTTCTGGGCTCTAGGCTCTTTGTGATCTACACAGACCACGCGTCCTTGAGGACGGCGACTAACTCGCCTCACCTCTCCCAAAGGATGGCGAGGTGGCTGTCCTTCTTCGCGGAATACAACTTCTCCCACTGGTGCGAGGGGACCAAATTGGCTGTGCGACGCACTCTGATTGGTCAAAACACTGTAGCCATAGACCAAACTCAGTGTAGCCATGGGAAAAGCTCCATAAGTCATCGACCCAAAAAAGCCATAAATGTATTCACCGTTTTCACGAATGCCTGTTTCGTACTTAGCGAAAGAATTCACGTTTCCGCGCGACTGCACTTTTGCGGGCGACCACACAGTTGAGGACGACTGCACAATTGAGGAAGATACTTTGTCAGGCACGGGCCACGCATAGAAATAGCAAGTTTCATTTCATATTTTCCCTTCGCGGAGTGCAAGCGACTGCAATGGACCTGCCCGAAACTAGTCGCCTGTACGGTGCGGCCATCGCTGCAGCCAAATTTGCCGATCAACGAGTCGAGTCTCGCATGCGGGTCGACTATACCGGCAGCCTTCGTCGGTTCACCGCTTTTTGCATAGCTGAAGGATACCCAGACCCGATGAAACAGCGATTTGTTCAGCTCCCAGGCGTACTAGCAGCGTACATAAATCAGCTCGCGACGGCGAACAAGAGTCAGTGGCCTGCTGAGAAGCTACGGGCCGCGATTAGCTGGCATTACGCGAAGCCGGAAATGCTTTCAGGTGGACACCCGCACGATCGCTGGGTTATTGAAACTCAAGCAGATGGCTCGATTGTGCCACGCGGAAACCCCACCCGATCCGCAGCAATTACGCAAATCCTCGCAGGCCTAAGTAAAGCAAAAAAGCGTGAAAGAACTCCTAAGCGCGCGTCACCTATGTCGCTCGCAATGCTAACGCGAGTAATCACTTTCCTTGAAACTGATTCGGACTTCAATGAGACGATGCGCTTGTGGTTTTCCGCCGTGTGCTCGCTTGCCTTTTACGGGATGCGTCGAATAAAGGAGGTGCTGCTCATGAAGAAAGGAGATATACAGCTCGGACTTCGGCGCAAGTCGCGCAAGAACGACAAGGAGGTCGAATTTGATGTTTCACAATACGCGACCGAAGAACGGACCATGATCCACTGGCAAGTCGCACATACTCTTTGCATCACCTCCCAAAGGAAGAGCAAGCCACCGAGGCTTTGACGTACCTGGAGAGATGGTTTAAATATGCATGTACGCGGTTAAACCACAAGTGGGACAGTGGTGACTACGCGTTCCCAGCACTGATAAAGGTTCCCCGCGGCGGTGCTAAACGTCCGAAGAACTCTCTCGCTAGCGCTAGTCCTAATGGGACCTTTGGGAATGTTGGCGTTAAATGGGGCGCTCCAATGTCGGACAGTAACTTCACTCAGATTCTCAACATTGTCGCCAATGCAGCTGGAATCAGCAAGAATCTCCTTGGGGATGACATCTGGTTTACATCACATTGCTTTAGGCGAGGCGGAGCTCAGTATAGATTTATGTTCGCTCCTGAACAAAGCCGTAGGTCTTTGAAGTTGGTGAAGTGGTGGGCAGGATGGGCGCCAAGTGAACATCGTCCTCAATAGTGCTGTCGTCCTCAACTGTGCTGTCGTCCTCAAAAGTGCAGTCGCTCAGTTGTGTGCAGTCGTCCTCAATAGTGCAGTCGTCCTTAACTGTGCAGTCATCCTCAAAAGTGCAGTCGTCCTTAACTGTGCAGTCGTCCTCAATAGTGTAGTCGTCCTCAATAGTGCGATTGTAAATACACTACAATAAAGTAATAATGATAAATGCGTCAAGGCTAACCAACACGCATAAAACTCAAAATTAACTAAAACATATGCTTTATGTAGTAATGCCTTGCCGTGCATTTTGCCTACTCTGATGACTCTGCTGAAACACTGGCACTAGGTTGGTATTCTTCGTCAGCTGAATCGTTTGAGTTGTCACTCAGATAGTCATCACCGAAGTATATACTGTCGACTGGAAACGGTTGCATGCATGCAGGGCACTTGAAATGTGCTGCACGATTCTCGCTGAGGTTCACCATGTTGAATACACGTAAACACTGAATACCGCATTGGTGCGGGCACTGAGGGCCCTCCTGTATGATGTCCCCGTTGTCGTCATTATGTCCGCAAATAAAACACGTCGGCCGAGCAGGGATATGACGCACGATAATCACTTCATCATTTTCAACCTCCATCTCGATATGCGTGCGACAGGTGGGACATCTTTTATCATGCTCAAACATCCGTCCAACACAGCTACGGTGGTACGACTGGCGACAGTTGCTGCACACCCATAATTCTGTCTGGCTATCTGACTCATAGCAGATGACAATCCACAGTATCTTCCACGGCTTTTTCCACAGAGTCGACCACAGTATCGTCCACAGAAACTTTAAACAGAAACTTCCTCTGCTTCGTCACAAGACTGCTGTACAGCATTTCGCGACGGCCCACGATTTCGTCAGGTTGCTGCACCGACCATTCGGCAACTTCAGACCCATCATTATTGACGAACTCAGCAAATTCTGTGTCAAACCAGTTTCAGTCTACATCGGGTACGCTGATAATGCTGTCGGGATCATCGCCACCTACTGCGCTGTCATCATTGTTGAGTGTTTCGTTATCCAGTGATGCCTCATCTGTTTGTAAAGTGCCACCATCAAGAGCATCCACTTGTGGCGCATTATCACCCTCGTTCAATATATGCCCCTGAATGTCGGATTCTTGCCTTTTCTGCTCACCACCAACACTCCCTCTGCGACGTCGACGGTACGCTGCGTCGCGTTGGCGCCGCTGCTCTGCCATATGGTTTCTGCGATTGGTCCTTTCCACTTCCGTCATGCAGCGACTCGATCGCTTGTGGCGCTCCAGCTGGTAGCGGTAGCCTTTCATCCACTGACAGCACACGTCACACATACGAAATGGTGGGGCTGGCAATCCCCGACATGGCTTTTGGAGGTGTCGACAAGGATAGTCGGCTCTGGAAAACTGGTGATGACACGTTTCGCAGACGTGCTCCAAGCTTCCAGACAGTAGATCACAAATGTCCATCGTAATATATCATAAAAGTAATAAACATTTTTAAGTACATTGCAGTACGTTGCTACAAAAAATAGTCCTCTCACTGGTCGCACGTGCGATTCTTGGTCGTCGCACCAGTGGGGCAGGGGGCTTCGCAGTAAAATCGATAATGAAGTCCTATTGTCAGCAGGCGGCAGCTTCCACTGGTGCGATTTTTTGGCTGTATGACACCCAGAGTCCGCCTCTACATACCTACCCCTATCAGCCACGCTAGTGGGTCGCAATAGACCAAGGTTCATTTCTCATGTCGCAGTCCACATCAAACAAACATAATTTCGCACAAGTCGAGCGAAGTCCTACTTCCGCGTCGAATACAAGCCGGGCAAGCTCAACGTGCTTGCGGACGCCCTCTCTCGGCGTCCTGACTATGAGTTGGCCCACATCACGCGGGTGACAACGGATCTATACGCATGGCGTATCGGGACGATGAGGCTGTCGCGCCTATCGTCAAGTTCCTTATGGCAGGAACGAGCGCGAAGTCCGACTGGCTCTCGTCGCAACAGCGCTCACGGCTCCACCGATATGAGTTGAAGGATGGACTCCTCTATAATCGGGTGGAGCCCACTGATCCTCCACGGGTGGTCGTACCCAACGGTCTCTCGGTCCTTCTGGTGGACCCACATGTACAAGTGGGTCGCCCGGTACGTTAAGACATGCGAAACATGTCAGTGGGTCAAACCCGCAGGGCACTCTTCGGCTCCACTACAGAGCCTGCCCGTACCGGCTGACTGTTGGAAGTCGGTGAGTCTTGACTTCATCTTTGGGCTTCCCGCCGACGGACACGGCAACACCGGAATTAATTTTGGTGTTCGTGTGTCGGCTGAGCAAGATGGTACATCTTGCTCCAGTTCCCGTCACTGTTACGGGCGAAAAAAGCGCAAGGTTGTTCGTCGATGGCGTGTTCCGCTATCACGGTCTCCCGGAGACGATTGTCTCGGACCGAGACCCGCGGCTCGCTGCTGTGTTTTGGAAAACGCTGTTCCCTTTACTGGTAACTCGTCTGCAGATGTCCACTGCGGACCATCCGCAGACAGACGACCAGACAGAGCGCGTCAATCGAGTGCTCAAGGACACTCTGCGCAGTGTGTGCGCGGCAGCACCACGTACGTGGTCGACGCAGCTTCCAGTTGTTGAGTTTGCGCTCAACAACGTGGTGGACGCGTCCACGGGGTTCACGCCGTTCTACTTGAACGGCTTCCGTCACCCCAGAGTGCCTCTCACTCTTCGAGGAGACACTGACTCCTCTATTTTAAGTGGGGGAGAGGCTCGGAAAGCACTTTCCTCCCAGGTCTCGGATGTGAGACCAGTTTCGCTGCAGAAACAGGTGAAATCCTTTATGGATACCAAGCTGAGCGTTGTCAGCAGGGTCCGCAATGCCATGGCAGCGGCCCAATATATACAAAAGGAGTACTCAGACAAACATGGAAGAGGAAACTTAAGTATATTTAAGGTTGGGGACTTAGTGTTGCTAGACACGAGGAACCTACCTCTTGACACTGTCAGCTCTGTCGGCAGCAACAAGCTGAAGCACCGCTTCATCGGACCATTTGCAGTCCTGGCTAGACATGGTGCGTCGTACACCATCGACCTGCCTAAGTCAATGACGACGCACTTGACGTTCTATGTTGGACGTCTTAAGCGGTACTTTGACCCGCAGGGGGTTGCTGACTCGCAGACCCCCCTTGATCCAGCTCCTCGAAGCGAGGGCCGGTCACACTCGTCGACGAGGACGTCGGAGCAGGCACCCAAGCCTCGGTCGGGACGGCAAGGCTGCGGTCAAGACCGTACGCCGGACAGGCTCTATACGAACGGACCCCGGCGCCATACGCCGAGTACGCTGAGTACGCCGGGTACGCACCATACGCGTACGTCTGGGAGTGTGCCGCAGGCGGCTCCGGACGTGGCAACAAAGCCTCGATCCGTCGGATCATGCGAAAGGCCTCGTCCAGATCGGACGAAGAGGCCCGGCGATCCACCCACAGGTGCAGGCTCGCGACCTCTCGCTCCACCAGGTCCAGGCGGCCCGCAAGGCGAGCGAGCTCGCCCTGATTCCCGGCGTGGGCGGCAGCATCACCGCCAGTCCCAAGGCCAAGTGCAATCTCAAGCACGAGGACACGTTGACGGAGCACTCGGACGAGAGTGGCTTTCGGGAGGCGCCGAGTACTCGTACTCGTACGAGGGCACCTCCGTCCCTGCTTGACCGGAATGGAGAAGTCCACTTCCACGTGGAGCGGATACTCCAGGAGCAACGGCGTCGCGGTAAGCGACAGCTCCTCGTGAAGTGATGGGGTTATGCCCACTCCGAGAACTCGTGGGAGCCGATTGAACGGCTCCTGATTGACTGCCCGAAGGCTGTCGCAATCTGGGAACAGAAGCGGCGGCAGCTTCATAAGTAGTCCGGGGCTTCTTGCCCGAACGGGGTACGGACGATGAATACATTCCGTACCCGCGCTCATCGTGAGCGCTAGAAGCCGCGCGCTTCAGGATGCCCCTTGGCAGCATACGCTTGCTGATCAAGTGGGCAAACCTCACACGAAGGTACGCTGGTTCAAGATGCGGGACAGCAGCTGATCTTCATGGAGTTCCCGTAACTCCGTGGGTGAGTACTTAAGATTCTCCACCCATGCCCAGAACATGTCCTCACAAGAACTCCACGTGGGACAGTTCTCGGGCATAACCCAGGGGTATCCCCAAAGAGGATAGAGACCACCCCGGGTCTCGGGCTTCTTACGACAAGTCGTGAAGTCCTTAAGGGGAATGCGGTGTGGCGCGAGAAGCACACACCGAGCAGCCTCCAAGTTGTCAACGAACAACTGTTCTTTTTGAACAAGGGCTCGTTCATAGATGCCCCTAGAAGTGTGGCCGCCCACATGACCACGAGGAGCGACGAGAAGCTCTAAGAAGAGGTCAGCCCCAGAGCTCTCCTCGGGAGGCCAATACCCTCTTGAGTTGATGGCAGCTCCCTGGCTGACGGGTGCCACCACCGAACCTCCACGCACACGCTGGGCAGCTTGGAATTCCTCCTGCTGCTGGTCGAGGTCATTCGAGACCTCCCAGCGCTCAGCAATAGCACCCTCCTCCTCTTCTTCCTCTTTCTCCTCCTCTTCATCCGAGGAGTCGAAGATACTCTGATAGGAGTGTTGAGTCTCCTTCTCCTCGCGGAGTGGAGACTTAGAGGCTGTACGCTTCTTTGAGGGCTTGGCGCCTTCGGCTTTACAAGCCTTAGCACGCGCTAGACCCTCGGCAAGCGAGAGACGTTTGCGAGGATTCTCTTCCTCATCGCCACCGGCTTTGAGAGCGCCCTTAGCCTTACCGGCCGGACTCTCAGAGTGCACAGACGTCCTGGGGCTGTGATCACCTTGATCACTAGCGAGCGACTGCACGCTGTCATCCTTGTGCTCACTGGGCACTGGGCTGTGCCCTCCCACAGAGCCCGCAGGAGCATCGTGCGAGCTCTCGGACACGGCTTCGTCCTCACTGCCAGAGTTGAACTCACGTTCCACGAGCCGAGGGTTCGGACGATTGTCTGAGGCCGAGGGCAACGGACTGCGGCGCTTGCTTGCTCGCTTGCCCACAGCCGCATCACCCGAGGAACCGATCGCCTCGGAGGCCACCTGAGTAGCCTCCTTGAGTGCCAAGCCTTTGCCGTGAGGCTTAGTGCTCTTGCCTTGCGCCTTACCGGCCGCAGCCTTGGAGCGTGTCTTAGCACCGCTCTTTACTGTGCCACGAGGCATGGTAACGGTCGAATTGGAGACCTAGACGAAGAGCGCACAGGTTGCTGCTCGAGGCTCTAACTATAAAGTGAGCCTCCGCCGCGCTCGCGCGGCCAAGTCGATGGTTTTCGACTTTGAGAATGAGAGTTTGTGACGAACACCTTTTCACTCTGATTGGTCGGTAAACCGAGCGTAAGTGGGGGAGGATGTAACGGGGTACGAAGCCCTAAGTGTACCCCGGTTACATGAAGTGTGACACTTCACACTTCAGGAGTATGATACGTCATACTCCGGGATATTTGGTACAAGGTACCAAGGTCGTTCAAAGCCAACCATTGGTCAAACGAAATTGCATTTGTATAGGTAACTTATAGTTTGTATTAAACCCAAACTTTATCTACCTATAAATATACTCAGTTTACAATCTACCTTTTTTAGGTCATTCCGCTCTCTTTTGAATAAAGAAAGGACCTGTGAACTGCCGTTCACTGAGCGTTTGTATACTCTCGGAAGATAACTTCCTCTAGCGCAAGGTGCTGTGTGACCCCGTCACATAAACCTTCAAAACCAGATTAATGTCTGTTCGAGATAGAAACGATAGACAGTGGCAACCACACGGAGCGGCTCGTCATGATCAATTCAGCTACTCCTGAAACAGGAAAAAACTACTACAATCAGAGGACGTCACATTTACCGTTCTGAGTCTTTGAAGCAGCTGCACCTTGATGAATTAGCGCTCTACGGACCTGAATTCGGAGAAGCTGATTCCTTAAACATACTGAGGTGGTTTCAGAAGAAGAAGCGCGAAGGAGTAGCAAACCATGTAGCCCATGAAATTGATGCTACCACCGGTGACATGACAGCTAATACCCCGTACAATAGCCCGACCAATCCGCCGTTGCTGGTCATCGGGGTGAAGACCCGAGTCATCGACGGTTTCCCGTTCCGACAAGCCATCCGCCGAACCTGGGCAAGCAAGGATAGCTTACCGGCAAATGTTCGCGTACTCTTTGCTGCTTGCAGACTCCCAGGTGATGCGAGCGAAGACGTTCGTCAGACTATCGCCTACGAGCTGAATATTTACGGTGGTGACTTGCTCACAGATGTTCTGGACTGCGAGGATTAGTACGTGACCTTGCCCCACAAGGTCAAAGAATTTCTTCATCTCGTTGGAGGCGAAGCTAGCCTAGGCACAAGATGCGCTCAAGACCTTTTTGCGTTGGTTTCATTTGCAGAATACCACATGCTCTCTCCAATAGAGCGAAAAAGCTTGAAGTTGTGCCGCTAAACGTTTAATCTTTCCAAAGCCTCGCTATGCGCTTCAACCAATAAACTGTCACAAATGAACACAGTAAAAGAGCTGTACTCGAGCTTGGCCAAGAAAATAGTTAAATCTTGTGCATTGTTCAAGAACTTACCACACGCGGGTCTAAACCTTACGTCTTTCTCACCAGCAGAGCTCACTTTGCCTTTTCGTCCGGAGAACACAAGCACATCAAGAATCACCAACCTTCGCCATCAACGATGCCCTCAGCATTCGCCTTCCTGCCGCCTGTCCAAGGCGATCTTCCCCACCACCCCCTACCGACTCGAACGTTCCAGTGGACGCCTGTGGACCCCAACACCACACGTCTTCGCTGGACGCGATTCCGTACTGCCCCCAAGACCATCGTCGCGCCTTCTTAGGTAGACAGCACCGCTGTTTCCAAGTGTGCACTTCGTCACGCCGTCCTCATCCTCGACAGCGCTGCTGCCATCACGCCGCTGATCGAGATCGTCGACAGCTCTGTCACCACACCGCTGATCGAGACCAGCGATTCTCACGAGGCTGCCAGCCGCAGCCAATGTCTGACCATCATGCTGTGCAAACCTCTAAAGACGCCCCAAGAAGAACTAAAGCTCGGTTTTTCCTGCACCGACGTCGCCGCACAAGTCCAGAACGCCAAGCCGACGGTGGTCACGACCCTGGACGACTTCACCGGTACGCCCACGTACCACAGCTTGTCAATCGTCGCATACAAGGCCCAAGACACCACGGTCTCAATCCCCTTCTTAAGAAGCTCCTCGGCGGCCTTCATCATAGAGCTGTACGTCAGGCTTCTCGCGTTACCTGCAGCGAACGCCTCTCTAATTGCCGCGGCCGATGATGATTTTAAAACGAGCACCGTCGCAGCTGCCGATATTGTCAATGGCGACATCAACGAGCTCCAAACTCAACAAGAAGTCGAGGTCGCCCATAGTCCTGTACTTCATAGTGGACTCCGTATCCAACGTGTGCAGCTACACGTATACGACTCGAAGTGGAAGGCTAAGACAGCCGACACCAAGGCTCACCGAGCCACTCGAGTCGCAGCTCGCCCCACGCCAACTTCTACTTCAATACACCCCGTCCAGCCCAACAAGAACGTGGCGTCCAAGCTGTTCAGCTACCTCGAGGACGCCACGTATATCGGATACCGAGCCGAGTCCAAAGCGCGACGTAGTCAAGCGAGTGCGGCCACCCCTCAGCTTCGGTGGATATGAAAACGACGGCTTCTCCGGCGATGGCAGAGGTCCTCACATCCACATAATACTCCGAAGTAGTAGTATCTGCACATTGTCTGTAGCACAGCAACACTTCACATTATTATTATTATGAATACTTAAGTACAAAGAATTTATCACCTCACAACAACACGCTGGTAACACAAACACTTGAAATCGCTTCGTATTCTTCCAAGGCTTCGTTGACTCATCGATCGCAACCGAAACATCATTGATCAATCAGCACGTTCGCTCACAGCATCCTTGGAGTGTGGTACACAAATGGCTGCACTTCAAGGGCTGCATCTTCGGAATCAACTAGCAAATATTGGATATGAATCGCTGGTTGACTACCACAGCACTGATCCTTTATGCGACTGCATCTCCAAGCAGCATTCACACTGCGTCGGACTCTCCTGTTTGCAGCGCCCTGTTCTCGGATTCAGTGTACAAGGTGCCATCTCGTCCATCGAGATCGTCTACCCCCAGTCGACGTGAAACCTTCAAAAACAGATTAATGTCTGTTCGAGATAGAAACGATAGACAGTGGCAACCACACGGAGCGGCTCGTCATGATCAATTCAGCTACTCCTGAAACAGGAAAAAACTACTACAATCAGAGGACGTCACATTTACCGTTCTGAGTCTTTGAAGCAGCTGCACCTTGATGAATTAGCGCTCTACGGACCTGAATTCGGAGAAGCTGATTCCTTAAACATACTGAGGTGGTTTCAGAAGAAGAAGCGCGAAGGAGTAGCAAACCATGTAGCCCATGAAATTGATGCTACCACCGGTGACATGACAGCTAATACCCCGTACAATAGCCCGACCAATCCGCCGTTGCTGGTCATCGGGGTGAAGACCCGAGTCATCGACGGTTTCCCGTTCCGACAAGCCATCCGCCGAACCTGGGCAAGCAAGGATAGCTTACCGGCAAATGTTCGCGTACTCTTTGCTGCTTGCAGACTCCCAGGTGATGCGAGAGAAGACGTTCATCAGACTATCGCCTACAAGCTGAATATTTACGGTGGTGACTTGCTCACAGATGTTCTGGACTGCGAGGATTAGTACGTGACCTTGCCCCACAAGGTCAAAGAATTTCTTCATCTCGTTGGAGGCGAAGCTAGCCTAGGCACAAGCTGCTCTCAAGACCTTTTTGCGTTGGTCTCATTTACAGAATACCACATGCTCTTTCCAATAGAGCGAAAAAGCTTGAAGTTGTGCCGCTAAACGTTTAATCTTTCCAAAGCCTCGCTATGCGCTTCAACCAATAAACTGTCACAAATGAACACAGTAAAAGAGCTGTACTTGAGCTTGGCCAAGAAAATAGTTAAACCTTGTGCATTGTTCAAGAACTTACCACACGCGGGTCTAAACCTTACGTCTTTCTCACCAGCAGAGCTCACTTTGCCTTTTCATCCGGAGAACACAAGCACATCAAGAATCACCAACCTTCGCCATCAACGATGCCCTCAGCATTCGCCTTCGTGCCGCCTGTCCAAGGAGATCTTCCCCACCACCCCCTACCGACTCGAACGTTCCAGTGGACGCCTGTGGACCCCAACACCACACGTCTTCGCTGGACGCGATTCCGTACTGCCCCCAAGACCATCGTCGCGCCTTCTTCAGTAGACAGCACCGCTGTTTCCAAGTGTGCACTTCGTCACGCCGTCCTCATCCTCGACAGCGCTGCTGCCATCACGCCGCTGATCGAGATCGTCGACAGCTCTGTCACCACACCGCTGATCGAGACCAGCGATTCTCACGAGGCTGCCAGCCGCAGCCAATGTCTGACCATCATGCTGTACAAACCTCTAAAGACGCCCCAAGAAGAACTAAAGCTCGGTTTTTCCTGCACCGACGTCGCCGCACAAGTCCAGAACGCCAAGCCGACGGTGGTCACGACCCTGGACGACTTCACCGGTACGCCCACGTACCACAGCTTGTCAATCGTCGCATACAAGGCCCAAGACACCACGGTCTCAATCCCCTTCTTAAGAAGCTCCTCAGCGGCCTTCATCATAGAGCTGTACGTCAGGCTTCTCGCGTTACCTGCAGCGAACGCCTCTCTAATTGCCGCGGCCGATGATGGTTTAAAACGAGCACCGTCGCAGCTGCCGATATTGTCAATGGCGACGTCAACGAGCTCCAAACTCAACAAGAAGTCGAGGAAGCCCATAGCCATGCACTTCCTAGTGGACTCCGTATCCAAAGTGTGCAGCCACACGTATACGACTCGAAGTGGAAGGCCAAGACAGCCGACACTAAGGCTCACCGAGCCACTCGAGTCGCAGCTCGCCCCACGCCAACTTCTACTTCAATACACCCCGTCCAGCCCAACAAGTACGTGGCGTCCAAGCTGTTCAGCTACCTCAAGGACGCCACGTATATCGGATACCGAGCCGAGTCCAAGGCGTTATGTAGTCAAGCGAGTGCGGCCACCCCTCAGCTTCGGTGGATATGAAAACGACGGCTTCTCCGTCGATGGCAGAGGTCTACGTGAGGCCTCACATCCACATAATACTCCGAAGTAGTAGTACCTTGTCCCGTACCCGGAACACGAAGGGATCATTCCAGGAGCTGTGCTTCCCGGCGGGATGACCCGAGGCCCTGTGGTTACTCCTCGCCCGGCCGTCCAGTCGGGATGGTTCCCGTTGAACTCGACGGCTCACGTGCCCCCGCCCGATCCCGCTAGAGTGGTTCCATAAGGTGATCTAAGAACGCTGATTCTCTGGCGTCGTGGGACCAAAGCACCTAGCGTCATCAAGCCCCTTCCCAGAGCTCCCTGTTGTCCCACGAGGGCTGACGACAGGTGAAGTGAACTCTTCTTTCTAGTATAAGAGAAGTGGTGTAGTGTATGTAAGGTAGAGAAGGTGTTATACCTCTTTTCCAGTTAGCTCTCAGTCTTATATTTCCCTCCTTCTACTCAAGAGGAAGCCAAGCCAATAAACAAACTTCTATTTCATCTTACAGTGTTCCTATCTACCGTTCCTGCAGCCACTAAACAAGACCGTACTCCCTCAACAGCCGCGGACTACCCGATCCTTGAAGGAAGAGGAGGTATACGATATCTGGTGGAGAAGCAGGGTAGTCTGCTTGCTGGAGAAGGTCTTGTTTCAAGTAAAGACGCTCGGAGAACGTAAGAAGGAAGGTCCACTAACACCGGAGAAGATGTCGGCGACACCATCCGAGAGGAAGAAGGTCAAACTGGGAGTCTACCTTCGAGGATGTGAGCCAGTCTGTCGACTACGCAAGGCCTCTAAAACGTGCAGAACATCGTGGACCAAGCCGCTAACCGACTTGGAGGGAACAACGCTAGTACTGCTGTCGAGCCACCGCGGACGCTTTAGGCACCGGGGTCCCAACGATCATCACTACGGAAGAATTGGGACCGATGCTGACCCTGGACGGCGGAGGCGGTCGAGGTACGGTGCAAGGCTGGCTCAACACCCTCAACTGGTTGAGGTCAGTGGCTCCCCCTGAGATTGCGGCGGCTATGGAGAAAACCGAGGGGAACGGTCACTTGAGGACTCCCCCTCCTACGACTCGAGTGAGGACTGCGATCCCGTCGTATCAAGGTTTCACTACCCGAACCCCGACTACGACGTATGAGCAGGATTTCAACCCGTTCTTCTCTCTACCGACTGTCCCTGAGAGCAGTGGACGTGCTTCCCCGGCGAGTATTCCTCCGAGAACCTCTAATGCTCCTCCTTGGGGTCTCCTGCCCTCTGGTGGCATTCGAGGTGGCGTGGGGAGCGCTCCTGCAGTAACGGTTCCCGCACCTCAGAGTGCTCCCTCTCAAGCTTCAACTCCTACCGTTCGAATCCCTACGCTGGACCCGGGGTCTCGCACCTCGACTACCGGTGGGATCGCGTACGGGGTCGGCCCTACGGGAACAACCGGAGCTTCACGAGGAAACGGAGGGACTACGGTCTCTGCCGGGACCCATCAAGGTCTTGCGTATGGTGGAAATGGAGGTAACCCCTACTACGCTTCGCCTACGTATGGTAATACGCCTTCAATGACTAGTGACCAGTATGGTGTGCACACTAACATCCGGAACGCTATTCGTATGCTTCAGCCGTTCTACTCGGAAGGAGCGTCGGTGGAAAAGGCTCGATCATTATGGGAGGCCTTCGAGAACGCTACTATCGGGTTGGATGAACCTCTACGACTCAGTGCTTTCCGGGAGTGCTTGAAGGGCAAGATCGGCGAAGATTGGTGGATGTACTCGCGCATCAACAGATTTGAGGCCCTGAGAACTCGGTTCCACAACCAGTTCATCAGTCAAACCCCGTTGCAGCTGATCAAAACCTTAAGAACACTAAGCAACCCCGGGGAATGTCCGCCGAAGTGTGGGGTGACATGATTTCGAGCCTCTGCGATGCTGCACAGTGCTACGATCATCAAATGCGCTACCAGTACTTCTTGTCTGGACTTCGGAACCGAGATTGGAGGAACGCTCTAACCACGACCATGATTGACTCCATCCCTGCGGCTGTGGCCATGCTGCTCCTCAAGAATATGCATCGTCCTGTCGAAGATGACTCCGAGTTCGATAATGCTCCGTCCCCTAGAGCTTCCCAAGAGAACGCTGTCCTCGAACGCATGATGAACATAATGCAGCAGACGCAGAATCTACTCGCTCAACAGCAGCAGCAGCAACTTCAACAGCAACATCAGTTGATGGAGCGTACCTTGGCGGCCGCCTATGCTACTCCAGCGATGCATGGGGCTGATGCCTACTATCCTCCTGATCCGAACGCTTCTCTGCCTTATCAACCTACCGGAACGCTTCCTATTACGCCTATAAGGGGTGTTCGTGTAGGACCTGACTTGCGCACTTAGGATGGTCTTCTCGTGTGCGGTCGATGTCACACTCTGGGGTGTTGTCGAATTCACTGTCGTCGCAACAAAGCCACCTGTCCTCACTGTAAGGAAGTGGGCCACATCGGTCCTGAGTGTGAGCGTGACCTAGCGTATTTCGGAACACTCAGCCGAGGAACGGTCGCAAGTGCTTCCTGTGTGATGAATCAGGTCACATGTTGGCGGAGTGCCCTCTAAAGACGTCGCTGAAGAGACTCGGCGGTCCGGCTGGGGCAACGGCGGGACCTGGCCTAGGACAAGCGCCCAACCAGCAATGATGGGGGTGAGAGGGAGGGGAAGGGAGTGTCGCTCCTTCCTCTTGTCTATGGATCGACACAAATGGGAACACTTTGAACTCCGCGGAGGAGTCGACCAAGAGGTATGAAGTGTGTCCCGTTGGAGGTTGGATGAGTTCCGCCTTACTGGTAAGAAATGAAACGACTATGCGCAACGAGCATATGACGAGAACGGATGAGCTACTGCCACTTGTGGATGAAGGACGTACGGCGCACGTGTGGAACGGGGTATCAGTAGTCCCAAACACTAACGACAGTTGGAGGATGGGACAAGAAGCGTTTGTAAAAGAGGTAGGCTCGGGACCCGTATGGGACGGTCCCTCGATAGCCGCGAACATTGACGAACGCTCCAGTGCGAACCAAGGAGTGGTTACGAGAGATGGCCAAGAAAGTAAGAGCGAAGCAGTGAGCGAAGAACTAACAAGGAAGAAGAAACGGAAGAGCCGCGACCTCAGGCGTCCCCGGCGGAACGAGACTACCCGTCGACGTCAACGAACCACAAGAGTGTGGTTTCGAGCGTGCTAGATCAAGACGAGGAGAAGGGTGAGTCCAATGACTACCCTCTACAGGAGGAGTTACTCCAAGACGTGACGGAGGTACTCGAAAGCCCACCCCGAGAAGAGTATGGAACTACCGAAGCTAGTGTTTCAGTCTCGAAGGCGGAACCACGCGAGCGGGAGAAAGACGTGACCCCTCCCGGGAGAAACGAAGCCTCCGAAAAGGACTCTGAGGACGTCGCCAGTACTAAATCACCAAAGGGTGAACCAGAGAAGGAGCCTTCCTTCGCGAGGGTGTTCACCAAAGAAGAGCTAGATACTTTGGAGGAAGGTAAGCCATCCAAGCTGGCTGAAGAGAAAGAAGAATACGACAAAGAACTCGAAAACCGACTGTTCCCTCTCGATGAGG